AAGCCATTCCAGATCCAACCGCCGTGCCGTTAACGAGAGCTAACCCTTCCTTAGGCTGCAGATCGAAGAACCCGGAGCTGATTCCGGCTTTCTCGAAGGCTTCCTCGGCGGTTAGGGATTCACCGTCGGGACCGGTGGCTTTCGAATTTGGACGGCCGGTGAGGAGACCAGCGATGTAGGATAGAGGAACGAGATCGCCGGAGGCGGTTATGGTTCCACGGAGGGGAAGAGAAGGAGAGATGTTGTGATTGAGGAGACTGGTGATCGCTTCGAGGATTTCGAATCGGATCCCGGAGTATCCTTGGAGGAGAGTGTTGACTCGGACGAGCATGGCCGCTCTCGTGGCGGACTGCGGCAGCGTGTGACATGTCTCCTTCGTGTTCCCGAATATTCCGGCGTTCAGAAATCTGAAACGGAACAAACAAACAGCGCAATTTTAATAAAATTGAATTAATTGACTTTTACGTGGATCTAGACCCGACTCTACCCGGCCCAAACCGATAAGACCCGACCCGATTACCGACCCGGCGTGTTTCCCATGCAAAATGATATGATCCTCAGATACAAAAAACTTTGTCCTCGTGAGTATATTCAGTGACAATTATACGGTTCCAAAATAATCTCTGCCAATTCTCCACTTAATCCACTAAATTTAATATTTCTCTGATCACAATTCAAAATTTTGAAATATAAAAAATAGTAATAAAATAATGTTTGATCACATTCCTTTTTTTTGTTTGGTTAAAGTTGATCGATCACATTCCTTCTTCGCCTAATTAATTAGTTATAAGGTAGGTTATATATATAACACATGATTTTAAAATTTAATTAATTACCTGATGAGTTCCGTTTGCAATGCGACACCGTTTTTAGTTCTCCGGTGAGAAGTAGCGCCAAAGCCGGTGGTGACACCGTAACTGTCAGTACCTTTCCCCATACTCTCCATAACCCAGTCGCTGCTAGCTTTCACGCCGGCCCTCGAAGCCTCAGCCAGCTCAACCTTAACGCCGCTACCGACGGTGGAGATCGCCGCAACTTGTCCGATCGTCAGCGTCTCGCCGCCGAGATTCACAACCGGTCTCCGATACTCCTCAACCATCTTCTTCACCTCATCTAAATGACTCCCTTTCATCTGCTCCGCCGCAGCACCCCAATTCAACGGATCCGCTACTTTCGTCTTCTCTACTCCACCGCACAACATGGTTTCGATTTTGCCGTTTTGGTGAACTGATCCGTTAATCTGATCCATTGGTTTCTTCGAGTTGTTCTTTGTTTAATAAATAGGATCAGATCTTTTTGAATTGTTGGTGAAGGAAGAGAGATTTTGAATTGTTGGTGAAGTAATTTGGATTTTGTGTTCCTGAGGAAGAAGAGAAGAGAGAAGAGTGGTTTAAATAGGGAAGACGATGTTAGTAGTGTTTGATGTTAGGTAAGCACAAGAGGAGAACAAGTTTTTTGATTTATGAAAAAACAAAAATTAAAAAAAGGAGAATGAGAGAGGGGTGGGTGAGAGATTTACAATGACCGTTGGATGATGATTTAGGATCCAACGGTGGAGAATGGAAAACGTGAATTTGGTTTGAGCCGCAAAAAGATCTCTTTCGAAAAGGTGGTCGCGGCTGGTGGCTAAGGGGAAATAGCGTTTTGCGGTTGGTGAGAATATGAGACAATTTTCTTTACGAGTGATTATAATTATGGTTTGGGAATGAATATGGGAGTTGGTGTGTAATGTGTAAGAACGTAGTAGAGTCAATTCAAAGTTCAATTCTATGAATATGGTTTATAATTAATTTATAAATATATACATCGTCAACAAAACCATAATCCAAAAACAATACTGTTGTGCATTGTATAACCATTTTTACAATATTTGTCTTTAACGACGCCTTGTTTTATTGTTAGACCAACTCAGTCCAAAACCTAATCCAACCTAATCAAAATCAACATAGTTTAGAATATATATATTTCTCAGAATAAAGATATATATATATATATATATATATATATATATATAAACCACTAAATGGTTGTTATATTTTTATGGTCCCAAATTTATTTGAATGTTACGTTGCCTATAAAAATGACCACAAATTTTTACCTTGATTTGAGTCATTATTTTACTGGACCAGCCTTGGTTCTGAACTATCAGCATGAATTATTTTTCAGTATATGTTTTCTTCTTTATATGCTTACATTTCTATTTACACAATTCTTATTAACCAGATAATTTGGGAGAATCCAACTGATCCCACATATGAATAAGAAAGCCAAAATATTTTTACCAAAAAAATATTTTATCCACGTACTGAGTTTTTTTACGTGGCCTTTGGCACAGCTTCCCCATGCACATCTACATGTATCTATTAATCGATATTTATTTTGAGAAAAAAACATTTTTTTTTTAACTTAAAACTTTATTCACCAATAAAATATTTAAGTTTGAATGTCGTCTATGACCAAACTTGACCTCAGGACACTTATTTAAATAGTTTGGATTAGGTTAGTGATATTACTAGATTTGTCCATGACAGAACAGTGACTCCAATTTAAAATTCTGTAAACGTTCCACATTTATGCGAACAGCTATTAGGGGTTGATAATCCCGTAAATTTTTTGTATTTAAAATTTAGTGTATTTAAGATTTAAGAAATTGATTTTTATAGAAGAAAGGAAATAGAACATATTTTTGTTTTCGTTTAATTAGTGTTGAATAACTTGAAATAAAAACATAAAATTTAGTGTTGTATCATTTTTGTTAGTTAGTAATATATTTTGTTGCTAAAGACCGAGAAAAAAATAATGCGCGTGACTTTATTTATTTGCCAATTCGTTTGACATTAAAGAATAAATGTTGACCATGATTTTTTTTTCTTTTTGACTAAATTGACCATGTTACACGGTTTGAATCATGATGGTTTATAGTTGTACTGTATTATATAATATATTTGATGACTTCGTTTTACAAGTTTCCCAGTTCTTTCTGACTAAGCCGACAATATAAACTGGAATAAGTTTCACCATTTTACTGTTCATTAACGTGTCTCTCCAAAAGGAGAACTCGCTGCAAATTCAGATGCATATATATACTTACCATGTCATCTATTCGCCCATGAAGGATAGTCGAACATAACATTATCTCTGTGACAATAACTTTTTGTTGGTTTGATATATTTATAGATTGTAAAATAACATGCAAACGTCAGCGTCATGCCAATTCAACATAAGAGGAAACAACAAGCGTGCCAATCATCGATATTTAGTTTCAAAATTTAGTATTCCGATATGGTCATATCCTAATCCTAAGTAATTGTGCTGGTCCCTTAATCATATAGAACTAATTTTATAACAATCTCACCTAACTAGCTCAGAAAAAAAATTCTTGAATAAAACAAGATAGAAAGGTGGGACAAGTAATATTAATGCGACATAAGGAGCTAATCAGTGAAGAGGAACCACATCGTTTGCGTGACAGAAGAAATGGCATTTACGCAAGCACATTTTTTTGGAGTGGTGTATTGGATTAAAATTCATACAAATTTAAAAGTTCATAACCGAAAAGTAAAGTAGTTAGGACTTAGGAACATACTGTACTATATGTTCTGCTAGTGAATAGAAGATTACGGTCTAAATATGACGCGTACACAACTATATATGTAATAAATGATCAACTAATCGCACGGAGCATAAGGTGTACTTTACGAAAAAAATGGAGCATAAGGTGTTTTCTTGAATAATCTTATCCTCTTTCTCGATCATCATGATTCATGGCTCTTGGATTTGATTTACATTAAAAAAAAAACAAAAAAGTGTGATATGGTTATATATCATGAATCTGCACCCAAACTATTATGGCTCGAAGAAGTTGTGTGGGTTGGTGAAATCAGTGAAATGGTTTTATTCAAACACTTGCATGAGTGCATGCATGCTCTTTCCCATTAATTATTATTGTAGGCGATGACTCCAATATGAAACCACAATCACACATGCATATTGTATTTTTTTTTTCTTTTTAGCATTTGACATACATATAAATTGCGGAGAAAGATATGTCGGTATCTATATTTTTACTGGACCACTTTAGTATTTTCGGATTTATTCTAAATAATAAATGAAGGTATAACTAGGATATAACACTATCAATTTCATTTCTTAAAGAAAGAAAAAACAAAATCGATAACACCGTGTAAATGAAAAAGAAACTGAAAATGGGTGATTAGAAGTGTTTTTGCATTAGAAATTTGTGTAGTTTTCAGTATTTGATAATATAAAATTGTATTGAAAGGGATACGTACGTACCGTTTTGCAAAATGGGAATCAAAGTGCCAAAATCAAACTCGATCTAGACTAAATAACATTGATTAAAATAGTGAAAAGTGGTCTAAAAACAAGTATTGTTTTAGTTATTCATCAACTTCAGCCCCTTTGAAACTTTCTATATAGTTTTTTTGTTATCCACTCGATCTACCTCATTAGACTCGTCGACCTGAAATGTTTGACTAAGCGAAAAACTAAAAAAAAAAAAAGACTCGAAAACATAAAATAAAATTAGTGATCCCCTGTGTGGGGCCTCGAGAAAAGGACCACCAAGGCAACAACCACAGTGGCAAAGATTCAGCAGACACCACTCATCTCACCAACCCCCCTTGAGCGGATCCCACATTATCTCAATATATACGATCATCATAAGTCATTTGTCCAAATCAGCCACATAAACTTCTCTATTTTATTTTTTAAATATAGATTATTTATACACACCTCAGACAAATGTATGACGTGTTCAAATAGATATATACCAGAAACAATTTATGAAAAACATAGGATGTTCACCAATTCTGCTGTATCTAACTAATCTACTAAACAAAAGATCAACAAATGTAAGTCATTATTCATCATTTTAAGTACAATATCAACTGCTAATCGAAATCCATGTTTATATTATCTGGTTTACGCTTGTAACGAGACAATGAGTCCATTACGTTACTCATCTTGATAAAAATACACCAAATCATATCTTAGACCAGAGGAAACCTAATTGATAAAATAATATATGCTCGAGAATATGAGATGATATATTTTCAAATAGTAGTACAAAAAACATCATCCTTGAAATCATTAGAGAGAAGAAACAAAATTTGCAGACCGGACATAGGCATTTCACCTTAACTAACATCCCTAATCCTATTGTTAGATACAGAGTTCACAAGAAGACTAACTACTAAATTCTCCTAATTAACACTTTGCTCTCTTGATTTTATGAAAGCTTGTGCTGCAGCTCCTCATCCTGATATGACATGATAAAAAACAAAAAATCATTGTCAGAACCAGAAGATAAACATTTGATACAGAGTCTTGATCAATAGTAAACTTACATGTAAATGTCATGTCTATAGAGAGCTTTTCATTAGCGGGGTGATTTCAATGGCTAAATCAACTCTCAGAAAGTATGCGGTCAAGCTCATCAAACCCATCATCTTCATTATGTTCAACATCTGTCAGAAGTTTCTGGGTCGTAGTAAGAGAATCAAACTTGGTTTGTTCATAAAATGAAAGTTTTTTCGAATCCCATTCCTCTGTCAACTTCTCCACTCTCTCTCCCGCCATCTCTTTCTCTTCCGCTATGTGCTTTATGTCCTCAGTCTCTACTATGTCTCCTGCACCTTAAGATTACAAAACAATCGATATAAACATAATGAATCATGACGGCACGACAAGAAAACGTTACTACATGCATGCTTAAAATCTTACAGAGGTCATCAAAATCAAATAAACTTTAGAATTTAGCTCTTTCAGAGATGGCATGGGAGGCAAAGAGAATCAATGGTAAAACATGGAGAAATAAAAAAAAATGCGCACAAACAAGTCATACGAAGTAGCAGCATACATTTTACTGCGTGGTTCCTGGACGCTGCATATTCTCTAGACCTTCTTTGTAGGGAACTCAGTTCAACTTCTTTACCCTGATAAGCACAAAAGGAATGGGGGCGAAATAGAACAATTTTAGTAAAGAAAGTAATCAAAATGTTGGACATATACATCTGTATAATCTTTTGGTTTCTATCTTAAAAAAAGTGCAACAAAGATATTCAAATATTCAAATCTCATGAAATGTAAATACTTAAAAGATTAGGTATCTCGTACTCACCATATCCAAATTGATATAATGCTTAATCTCGGTGTCAGAGAGTAACCTGTTCAAGTCAAGATGAAATTATATCACTAAAAAGGTTATTTTAAACTACGATTTGTTAGTCCTTGAAAAAAAATTTAGGGACAAAATGACATACGTGTTAATGGCACAACGCACAAGTGCATTATGTAGCTCGGTTGAATGATTAAGTTTCTCGATTGCAGACGCTTCATTAACTTCCACACCTCCAAATATAAACACGTTTTTATCAAGCATTTGTTTTGCCACAGCAGTAGCTATCTCTACACCTTCATCTTTTGCCTCAACTATAAGATCCCTAAATTTCCCAAGCTCTTCTGCAAGTTGAGAACTGTACAAGTTAACAATAATTCTAGCGATGAGGAGCAAAAGAATTGCATTCAGTAGGAGTATACAAATACAAACAAACAGTTGACATCAGCTACAGCTCAATGAATGATTCACATCACAACAGCTTCACGTTGTAGGTTTGAAGAAAGAAACTAGCGAAAAAGATAGATCAAACACTTACGAAGTGAGATATAAATTCTGAACTTGGGTTTAAAAGGTTGGATCTCATGAAGGCAGTAGAGACAGTAAAGACCTCCAAGTCTTCGTGAAAAGGATTCTCCAATACTAACCATATGACCTGTAGACATAAGGTTGGCTTGTGAGCTTAGCTAAGAAAACAAGCACAACGTGAATACTGACAGCAACGGAAAATTAACTCTTGAGTGTTTCAAAAATCGATGAATTAGACTTCAACTGACCGATGGCATGAGCATATAGTGACTGCATGAAAAAGGCTAAGTTGGTGTTAGGAATGGCTTCATATATATAAGAAAACTTTCGGGATCCCCACACTCTCTTCATATCATCAAACATTGTCATATCACCCTGAGAGTAAAACCAGAGACTCAACAAGTTAAAAGCCTGAAAACAATTTAAAACAACTAACAAAGATGTAGATAAATAAATAAAAGTACCTCCACAAACTCGTCTATAAGTTCATCGATATCTAACTTGAACAGAGAAAGATTCGCCCCTGACATGCACAAAAAAGGTATGAGACTGAAGAAACATAAAGATTAAGCACCAAGAACAGAATAAATTTCCTTCCATGGAGAAAAAGGAACCCTAAAACACCAGAGTTCTCGAAACACCTCAAAGAGACAATCATCAAAATCATCAATCGATGTGTTCATACTAGAGTCTCTTCCCTTGAATGGAAAAGGTTCAATATGGGGCTAAACATTCCTACAATGCTGGTTGAATGTTTGACATCTCACCTGGAGCATGCAGCTTCTTCTTCATCAGCGACTTTTCATTCACGGGAACTACCTTCCAGTTTTCGCTCTGGTTCATTATGGTTTCCCTTTCCTATTTGCTGAAATGTGTACCCAAGGAAGTGATTTCAATTCATTTAACTAACAAACAAGAAAAAGAACTGAATAAATTCACCTAAAGATTGTCTATAACATAGTACATACCTGCTGCAATTTTTTATATACCAATTTATCACAATTCTTAGATACAAAACATACTAAGTAAGCTATTCATACGACATGGTTAACACAAAAATTCAATCTGACCAGAGAGATATTGCAGTCTTATCAAAATCAATGTTGTAACCGATTAGACCAGCCAATTTGTAATAGCAAAAGTCTCGGATTATCAAATACCAAAACGTATAGAGAAGTCTGTAACTACAAATCTAGCTCCCCTAATAGAACCGAATGAAGAATCCCAAATTTCCTTCATTTATCTCCTTCGAGCAAAACTTGTTACCGGAGATATATATTCCCATCAATTCAATCGAAAAGGAAGCTAACAACAATGTAAAAGTTTCAGTTTTTCTACTCTGAATAAAACAGATATATCCCAAAACCTAAACACCAGATGTAAACCAAAGCATCCCCACAACCACAAGCTTCAAGCTTTCGTTATATATGGAGATATTCATAAGAAAAGAAAGATCCTTTTCGAAAAAAAAACCGAAATTGAACGTAGAAAACTTGTTCCGTTACCTGGTTAGGTCTTCTATTGCGGCACGATGCAGGATGCGTCCTCTTCGAATTCGGGATCAATCCGTTCGTTGGCACTAGTAAGAGTAGCACAAGGATGTCCTTGTTGGCTTGGCAGAGCTCAATCTACTTTCTGTGGAATGAGAGAAAGAAATCGACTTCATAACACGAATTTTCAGGTCAATTTGAAAATTTGCGACGGGATTGTAGGGAATCTAACAACTCACTTCGTGGAATTTGCAGGTTGCCTCTCTCTCTCTCTCTCTCTCTCTCTCTCTCTCTCTCTCTCTCTCGATCTCTCTGTTACGTCTCTTTTCTGAGTTTTCTCGGGATTTCGTCACTCTCTGAAAGAAAATCAGCTGGGCCGTTTTATTCTAGTAATATACATTTGGGCTCAAACACAGTATCACAAAGCCCATCTATGTAATATGTCCATCGTGTCGTATTTCCATGTTGAAGACAGTAAATAATTAATGTGTAGACAAACAGGTTTCGTCTACTGATGACACGAACGTATCAAAACATCATCTCTAGTGTGAAGGATTTTAAGTTTGTTTTCCACCCCAGAAAAAAGAATGGTGTGATGAATTTAAGTAGTGAAGGAGGGATATTTTACGAATTATGTCTGTAAAATTGTATTTTATGGTGCTAAATTCGATATCATAAAACCTACTTTGTACTAAACTTTTGGTTAATTAATGAAGAGTTGACGTTGAGATAAAAAAAATTTACATGTTGCTGAATACTCATGACGATGACACAACAGTCAACACGTTATAGTAGAAGCCACTAGACTCAAGGGATCCGGTCATTGGACACGATTTTGATCGGCCTGAAACAACATTCAAGTGAAAAGATAAAGTCAGTTGTGAACGATCAATTTGTCGGATATATAATTTTATTTATTTACCAAATTGGTTAAGTTTACAAATGTATTCGAAGACAAAGTCATTTTAACACAACCTCCCATTAGCAAATAATGGGTAATAATACCCACGATCGCTAAAATAACCTCATGACTATAATTGGTATATTTTTTTTAAGCCAGCGAATTACGTTTGCTTGTTTCTAGTTTTCTACTATCTATATTCTTCGAAATACATTCAACATTTATGCATGACAAAGTAAATATTGTGTCATAGTAAATCAGATAAATGCTGCTGCGAAATCTTATCAACATGTTCATTTCATCCCAACTATTCAAAAACGAAGAGGTAAACTTTTGAGGCAACTACAAGTTATCTCTCTGAAATTCTACACGTGACATTCCAAAAGTAAGAATCGAAAATCGTGTAGAATCAATATAGAATTGTTGAATGAAAATATTCGTGCATATATAATTGAATATGATTTTTTCTCGTCACGTATAATTTTTTTGACCCGCGACAAGTATACGCGGTAAACCTGATATTTGACATACAGTGATACAGATGCATAAAAACAGACGTTTCACCTTATTATTATTATTTATTTATTGTTTTTTTATAACAATTATTTATTTATTGTTAAAAGGTTAATACTATATTGTATTGAATTGATACTTTCAAATGACTAAGTGGAACAATTTGGAATGTTAGAGGACTACCACAGTAGTTGCATGTGGTAGTTAAGCTTCCTTAATAGAAGAAGTCTTGTGGTGGCTTTAGGTATAAGGTATCTCATCCATCAATTTTTTTGATAACATATAATACTCGACAAATAACTTTTTACCGCTTGTAAGTCACGCAACAGAAAGTGGAAAAATATTATTTTCAAAATTAACTGGTAATTAATGGAAAAGTTCATGTCTGTTATACATAAGTATATACATTTATTCTTAATTCAGTGTATAATTTCTAATATGGGATATTCAACCAGTAGTAGATGTAACCATGATGAGTGTAGTACTATGGTTCATGATCATGGACATGTAGTGAACCTCCAAAATGCAAAATATAGTAGTTTATACTTTTTAGCGCTTAATTGGGTACGTAGCAATAACTGGCAGCAAATACTACATTTACGGAAAACTACTATAGCATGTGCTAGAAACCCATGATAAAAAAAATTCATTTATAATGCCATTAAACGCTCTAATTCCTAAATCTCATATTTTCATCTATCTGTGGTAGTTCTTCTGCGGCATCATTTTATTGTTTTTACTAGGTATTTACCCGCACTACGCTGCAGGATATTTTTTTAAATTTTGTATATATTTTTAATATAATAAAATTATTTTTATTATATTAATGAGTATTATATTTTTTTTGTTATTAGCTTAAGTTATGTATTTATATGTTCTAAATCTGAATAAACATTGTATATCTTTAATTTTTCATTTTTCAAAATTATAATTTACTATCAAATTTGTTTAGCTAACTAACCTTTCGCCCTCCCTTTTTCTAATTCATTCTTGATAAATGTATATGTAAAAATAAAAGCAATATATTTTTAAGTAGTTTCATGCTAATGACAAATGTAATCTATTTTCTCTCCTAAATTGTCACTTGATCATCCTTTGAAATTATATAAATCAAATGTCATTCTTTTATTAATTAATATGATTATTTTGAATTACAAAATTTATTTATTTATCAAATATTTATTATAAACATATGTTTCTAAAACCATCAACCTATAATTAATAACATTCATATCAAAACCACTGCTATTGTTTTAGAACTAAATCGAAAATTATGTTTGAATTGATGAAATATCGATTTAGTCGAAGTTAAATAATTAAATTTGATTACTGTAAACATATTGTAACTTAGCATAATATCCCATGAAATTTTATTTTCTTACAAAAAACCAAGAAATCATATTTTCCATCAAAACAAAAACTTTATTTTCCCATGAAAATTGAAAAATCGCATATTCCCGTAAAAACTTAAAATTTCATTTTCTCACTAAAACAAAAGAATTGTATTTTTCCGCAAAAACCAAGAAATCACATTTTTTCGCGAAAACCTTTGTTTTCCCACCAAAACCGAGAAATCACATTTTTCACTAAAAAAAAATCATTTTCCTGCAAAACCCGAAAAATCGTATTTTTCTGTCAAAACCAAAAAAATTATTTTCTTGCGAAAACCGAAAAATCATCTATTCCGCCAAAACCAAAAAATTATTTTATCGTCAAACCAAGAATCACACTTTCCTACCAAAATTGATAGACTATAATTTACTGCGAAAACCAAAAATTGCATTATCCCTCGAGAAATTGCTTTTTCCGCAAAAACTAAGAAATGGTAGTTTCCCGAAAAAACCAAAAAATCACATTTTTCATCAAAAACTGAAAATTTGCATTCCCATCAAAACCGAAAAATTGTTTATTTCTGCCAAAACCGATAAATTTGTTTTCTCATTAAATTGAGAAATTGCATTTTTTGCTAAAATCTTGAAATTATAATTTTCCATAAAAACTAAAAAATAATATTTTCCCGCGAAAACCAAGAAACCACATTATTCGTCAAAAACCAAAAATTTACATTAAAAAAAAATTCATCCTCATGCAAAACCCAAAAAAATCGTATTTTCTGTCAAAAGCAAAAAAATCATTTTTCTGCGAAAATCGAGAAATTATCTATTCCCACCAAAAAAAAACATTTTCTCATCAAATCAAGAATCACACTTTCCTACCAAAACCAATACACTACAATTTCCTGCGAAAACCAAAAATTGTATTTTTATTGAAATTTTGTGTTTTCCCATAAAAACTAAGAAATAGCAATTTTCCGTGAAAACCAAAAAATCGCATTATTCGTCAAAAACTGAACATTTGCATTTCCCACAAAACCGGGAAATTACTTATTTCCGCCAACCGAAAATTTTTGTTTTCTCATCAAATCGAAAAATTGCATTTTTCGCCAAAATGGTCAAATTATAATTTGCTGCGAAAACTAAGAAATCATATTTTCCCACTAAAACCAAAAAATCGCATTATCCGTCAAAAGCCGAAAATTTGCATTTCCTATCAAAACCGAGAAATCGCATTTTCTCGTCAAAATTGAAAAGTTGCATTTTCCATCAAAACTTATATTCTGTTTTCTAGTAAAAAAAATTGTTTTCTCACCAAAATCAAAAATTCACATTTTCTCACTAAACCCGAGAATTCTCTTTTTCAGACATAACCAAGAATTTGTTTTTCCTATCAAAACTGAAAATCATATTTTCCTACGGAAATAAAAAAATTACATATTCTCGCCAAAACTGAATTCCCGCCAAAGCCAAAAAAATTATTTTCTCATCGAACTGAAAAATCTTGTTAACTGAAAAATGTAATTTTCCACCAAAATTGTGAAATTATATTTTCCTGCAAATTCCCTCTCTTTCTTCTCTTCTCTCTCCTTTTCCCTCTTCTCCTCATTGTAATTAAGTTGGCAAATAAAATTGAAATTGGGTTGGGCTATTTAATGTGTTTTGAAAACAGCATTAGTATGTGGGCTATCTAAGGCTATCTAATGTGTGTATTTTGGATGATTTTTTTTTAAGGAGTTGTATTAATAAAATATTTTCATTGGTGAATTAATTTGCTGAAATATCATTCTAAAAAAACTCTAAAATGCTGATGTGTCTTTACCTGGAGAGATTTATGTGTTTTTGTTGTATTGATTAGTCTTTTATGTTTTCATTTATGCAGTGTTGGAGGAAAGTGGTGAAGCAGAGAATGGAAAATGAACTTCAGATTTTCTCTTAAACCTTGTCTTCTGCTCTTTTAATTACTTGTACTCATTGGTTCTTTTTAAGTTCGCTCTATTTATGAAATTAGTTCAACTAAAAGTACGTAATTATCACACTCTCTGTTGGTTTTCTATAGGGTGATGGTATTTTGTATAGGAAAACAAGTATGTGAACAAAAGTCGTCAGGTGACAAACATTAGAACTTAGAAGTCTGTGTCCAAAATATACAAGATCAAGATCAAGCCACGTACGTGGGTTGGTGAGTTTGTCGTGGCAACAAAGAAGCGCTAGTAGAAACTTCAGATTACGACTTTACATCGGTGACTTTAAACCGACTCTTCTTTCGTGGCATACGTACAAACGGAGAGGATCTACTTTTCGCGAAAGAAAGAGACGAGATGACAAAGCCAACGTGTTTAATCTCATGGATTATATAAACTGTTGCGAATTCGCAAGTGAAAATTAGATGGATATTATATTTGTTAAACCGTAAGAAAAAAAAGAGAAATAAAGTTTTATTCAGAAAGGAAAAAAAAAAGAGAAAGTGAATCGAGGTGCATGCTATTTTCTTTTAGGTTTTTATTTCTTTACTAATGTGTAAAAATTCAATACGTATGATTTAACATGGAAAGTTTATATAAAACGTACAGAACGGAAGAAAAGGTAATTTACCTTGATCCAAATGATATTAATACTAATCTAATAAGCTTATAGAAGTACTTTGGTCGATCACATGTTACAAAATGAACTAGTTATCAAAATTTTATCATATTGGTGAAGCTTACAAAATTATTTGAAGAAAAGGTCTAGTTAACACAGTCTCCCAATAACAAATAAGGGTTTACAATAGTAAACTTTTATTTTTGTCGATTTGTTACCTCCATGTCTATAATGGCAACTTTCTTAATTAAGACAGCGAATTATGTGTGCTTGTTTCTTCTCTTCACTACAAGAAATCCAAGAAATCATGTATATTATATTATTTATTTTATTTGTTAATATTATTTTTTGATTGATGTAAGTTACATCTTTTAGTTAAATAACTCTGGAAATAGTGATGCTAATTATTTATATCAATATTATTAATGATGTAACTATTTTTATTATTTATATTAATTGATATTAATATATATCATTTGTAATACGTGATATTAATATTTACATCACTTAAAATAAATGATATTTATATTTATATCACTTAAATTAAATGATATTAATATTTACTATCAGTTATAATAAATAATATTAGATACTAAAATTCAGAGATATTAAAATTCGTTTTAATTTAAAGTTTTGTGTTAATTTTTATAATATTATAAATTTAAGATAACTAATAATTTTATATTTATAATTCTTAGAAATATATATTAATATATATATATGATTTAACATAAAAAAAATTAGTGTTGATGAATTTCTTTTATAGAAGAGAAAACTAGTGCTTTTCATATTCTTAGCAATGTGAGACAAATAGTTATTTTGTGAAAATTTTATTTGCATCACTTTTATAACTGAAAGAAATATAAACATCATTTATTATTGATGATAATGCCAGTTGATCAAATACTTCACTTATATAATTGATGCAAACTTATATATTTGTATTAGTTTTTCAAAAATGATATAAAATAATAAAGATTTGTATCAGTTTTTTTAATTGATGTTAATCAAGTTAGTATTAGTATCAATTATTTTTAATTGATGTTAATCAAGCTAGTACTAGTATCAATTATTTTTAATTGATACTAGTCAAGTTAAGATTAATATCAATTAAAAAAATTGATGTAAAATTTTATATCTAGTGTTAATTTTTAATTAGTAATTCTAAATAGAATCAATTATTTTAATAACACTTTATAAGTGCTTGTAGTTTCAGGTTAAGATTTTTTACCAATCAAACTAAGATTTTTATGCGAAGACTTCAGGAAAAATGCAAAAAGTAGATAGAAAAGCTGAGTGAGCTATATGTAGTTATCAATAAAATTGTTTGGTAAAAGATATTGAGTTTTTAAAAAATTAAGAGCTGAAAAAAAAATTCACCAGTCTTCACTCCCCAGCGGTTATGGATTAAATGAGGAAATCTAAAATATCACAAAACCTTTTCCCTACAAAGATATCAATGCGTTGTGACAGAAAATAAAAGAAAATCTAAAAATCATTTTCACAAAAATGAGCTCAATTTTAAGTTGTTCTCATAACAACAGCAAAAAAAAAAAAAAAAAATCAACCTTGGATCTATTTCTATGGGAAATTCAAACATCTATGTATGAAACAAATTTATTAAACTATAACAGGTCAAATACTTCTCAATATCTTAACAATTTTCATACCAAAGATTCAAAAACGAAGAACCAAACTTTTGAGACAACTACAGATGTTCTCTCTGAAATTCTACATGTTGCAAACAACTTATGACTTTCTAAGAAAAATAAAACGATAATCTTTTAAAGTCAATATAGAATTGTTGAATCGACATACTAAAAATTTTAAAAGTTCCATGTTCGTAAGGAAATAATTGAAAATATGTTTTATTATTACCAGTCTTTCGTCACGTACAATTTATCTGGAAGTTGTTTGACCAATTACTCTTACGCGATAAATCTCATATTGCCATACAAACGCATAAAGTATGATCGATCATGTATCTAAATATGATCCATCATTTGTTTTGTTCTTGTTTATTGTTAGATTTTTGTCGGATATTCCAATTTTATAGTCGGAATAAAACGGCATTCCACTTACTGGTTCAGGAGATCTAGAAGATTGATGAATTGCAAAATATTCTGATTACAAATTATATAAAACAACATTTTTGTGTTTATCAACATTAACGTAATATATGCTACATGTGCCTCGAGAGAGTTGACTTTATTCAAACACTATACAATAGAGTTAAACTTATTTCTTGATTTAATAAAAACGAGTAAAAATTAAACAGAAACTTTGATTTAGTCAAAACTCAACCATATGCATTGCCTCAATGACTCTATATATTTGCGTCTTCGAGAACTCAATAATTACTTCACACTTTAAACACAGAGCAGAAGAAAGTTAGCAAAAAAAAAATTAAAGCAATAATAATGTCTATCTTCCTTTGTTTCCTCTTACTCTTCCCTCTCTCTTTGATCCTCTTCAAAAAGCTTTTATCGTCGAAAAGGAAGCTTCCTCCGGGACCTACGGGTCTCCCGATCATCGGAAACTTGCACCAGCTTGGAAGATTTCTTCACAAATCTCTCCACAAAATCTCCCAAGAATATGGACCGGTGATGCTTCTCCGTTTCGGGGTAGTCCCCGTGATCATTGTCTCCTCCAAAGAAGGAGCTGAGGAAGTGCTCAAGACTCATGATCTTGAGACTTGTAGCCGACCTAAGACGGTTGCAACAGGGTTGTTTACTTACAACTTCAAAGACATTGGTTTCGCTCCTTTCGGTGAGAACTGGAGAGAGATGAGGAAACTCGCGGTGCTCGAGCTCTTTAGCCAGAAAAAGCTCAAGTCCTTCAGGTATATCAGAGAGGAAGAGAGCGTTTTGTTGGTCAAAAAGGTAACCAATTCTGCTAATGAGAAACCAACCTCATCGGTTGATTTGAGGAAAGCCATTTTCTCCTTCGCGGCCAGCATCATTTGTAGACTTGCTTTTGGACAGAACTTCCACGAGTGCGATTTTGTCGATATGGAGAGAGTGGAAGAGTTGGTGCTTGATTCAGAGACCAATCTAGGCTCCTTGGCGTTCGCTGACTTCTTCCCTGCAGGATGGCTCATAGATCGGATCTCCGGTCAACATTCGAGGCTGAACAAGGCCTTTGCAAAAATCACCAATTTCTTTCAGCATGTGATTGATGATCATTTGAAGCCTGGACAACCCCAAGATCACTCAGACATCATAAGTGTCATGTTGGATATGATCAACAACCCTAATAAATTCGGTTCTTTCAAAGTCACCGATGACCATCTCAAAGGAGTCATGTCGGTGAGTACAAATAATCCTTTAGTAAAATCTTTAAAGCCCTACATAAAAGGTAACTTGAGGAACAAGATTATAGCCTGTGAAGCAAGTTATGTAACTTAATATTTTGATCTTTGGTCTATTTTCGTTTTTCTTTTCTTACTTGATCCATAATACTCCCTAATTTTATTTTGATTCCTCTTTAAAAACCAAAAATCATGATTTATTCTATGTCTTTTCATTAGGACGTGTTTTTGGCTGGAGTAAACGCGGGAGCCATTACAATGATATGGACGATGACAGAGCTAAGTAGACATCCGAGAGTGATGAAAAAAGTCCAAGAAGAGGTTCGAGCAACACTCGGACCCAACAAAGAGAGAATCACAGAAGAGGATCTAGAGAAAGTTGAGTACTTGAAGCTGGTGATCGAGGAAACATTCAGATTACACCCACCAGCTCCTCTTTTGCTCCCAAGGCTAACAATGTCCGACATCAAGATTCAAGGATATAACATTCCAAAGAACACCATGATCCAAATCAACACTTACACCATAGGACGTGATCCCAATAATTGGACAAACCCTGAAGAGTTCATCCCCGAGAGGTTTGTCGATAACCCTATCGACTATAAGGGTCAACATTTTGAGTTATTACCGTTTGGAGCCGGACGTAGGATCTGTCCTGGGATGGCTACGGGGATCACCATCGTTGAGCTTTGCCTTCTTAGCTTTCTTTACTTCTTCGATTGGAGTTTGCCCGAGGGAATGACCATTAAAGACGTTGACATGGAAGAAACTGGAGCTTTCGTCATCGCCAAGAAAGTTCCTCTAGAGCTCGTACCAACTCTTCATCGCTGGTGAAGAATGTAATAATTTCTCATAAGATCCAGGTTTTCTATATGTTTGTCAACTTACTATCGGTTCGGTTTTTGTTTTGTCTTAACTGTTTAACGCTTATCTTGTCTTGTGATCGGTTATGTTAAAATAATGTCTTTAATAAAACTTAAGTTAATCCAAAATTGTATCGTATTTAATTTTTAAGAAATGGTTTTTTTGAATAACGGTTCGTGTGACAAAACAAAAAGAAAGTTGACATGACATTAAAGTAATTGCTTCCCAATATTTAAGAAGAAAAAAGGCTTAGTTTAGTTATAACTTAGTCACAACTCACAGCTCAGAGTTTATGATACAACTGGTTTTCAAAAGTAAGAAATTTTATTTTATTTACTTGTATATTTACATTCCCAAAGACCAAAATTATTCGTGGGATCCGGATTGAAGACTCCAGCTGAGGCAGAAGGTTTGTTTATCAACAATAGATAGAGAAAATCAAGCAAATAAAGGGACTCGCCTTATTTGCACATGTTTCTTTCTTTACTTTATTCATTTTGTAATTTCTTTTAGTTCTGTTTTGTATTATTTTCTTAAATTTTATAAAAGATTTTCAACAATTTTATGTATTTTCCATCTTGTGATTAATAAACAATCTCAAGTTTCTCTTAGACAAAATTGGCTAGAATACTTCTAAAACTAAAGAAGTCCTTTATTGTTTTATCACACGGAGATTCATCTAAGATGTCTGATACAAACTCTTCCGCCATTGATCCATGCAACCAAAGAAAAAGTTTAGAGCTTTAACTGAATGGGGTCAATTAGTTTGTTTGGATCCACAAAAGAATGTTTGGTGGCTACACAAATCAGTTCCACAAACAAATGTTTAGATTTTTTTATCGACACGTTATATTGTTGGTTTGGTCAGAGAGAGGTCTTTGTATCTAAACGGTGTTTCTTGGGACGTCTCCTTCAATACTCATTAATTACACACAGCAACGAGATATGCCACGAGAGATAAAGTTGCCTTATTAATACATAATTTTCTAAAATAATTAAGAAAAAACTATAATTGAGTACCAAAAAATGAAAAAAACTAACCACATGCATTGCTTATATAATGTTGCTTGCCTGTTTGAGAACAAAATACTCTTCACTCCCAAATACAGAGAAAAAGAGAGCAAGAAAACAAAAACAAGAATCATGTGTTTCTTCTTAACTTTCCTCTTCCTCTTCCTTCTCTCTTTGTTCATCTTTAAAAATCTTTCACCTTCGAAAAAGAATATTCCTCCGGGACCTACAGGTCTTCCAATCATAGGAAACTTGCACCAGCTTGGGAAATTTCTTCACAAATCTCTTCACAGTCTCTCTTTAGAACATGGACCGGTGATGCTTCTCCACTTTGGAGTCGTCCCTGTGGTCGTGTTCTCCTCCAAGGAAGCAGCTAAAGAAGTTCTCAAGACTTATGATCTAGAGACTTGTAGCCGACCTAAGTTGGTGGCGACTAGGTTGTTTACTTACAACTTCAAAGACATTGGTTTCACTCAGTATGGTGAGGACTGGCGAGAGATGAAAAAGCTTGTTGGGCTCGAGCTCTTTAGCCCCAAAAAGCAAAAGCTTTTTACGTATATCAGAGAGGAAGAGAGTGACTTGCTGGTCAAGACATTATCAAAATCTGCTCAAACAGAAACCCTAGTGGATTTGGGGAAAGTCCTATTCTCCTTCACCGCTGGTATCATATTTAGAATATCATTTGGACACAACTTCCGTGAGTGCGATTTCATCGATATGGAGAGAGTAGAAGAGATGGTGACAGAGTCAGAGACCAACGTAGGCACTTTGGCATTCACTGATTTCTTCCCCAAGGGCCTCGGATGGCTAATAGACCGGATCTCCGGTCAGCACTCGAGGATGAACAAAGGGTTTCCAAACTCACTAACCTCTTTCAACATGTGATCGATGATCATTTAAAGATTTCACAACCTGAAGATCACTCAGACCTCGTCAGTGCCATGTTGGATATGATTAATAAACCCACCAAAATGGGTTCTTTCAAGATCACTTTCGATCATCTCAAAGGAGTCATGTCAGTGAGTGTGAATAAATCTCTTACTACCAATATTTAAAGTTTCTATTGGAGGTAACTTGAGAAACGATATTATAGCTTGAAGAGCACGATAACTCGGGATATTGACAAACATGGTCCATTTATACTTTTTTGTGTTTGCATTACAAGATGCACATCTTATTTTTCAATTTATTTAGTTTAAAAAAAATCAATATAGTAAATTATTACGTATGTTATTTATTCAGGATGTGTTTTTGGCGGGAGTGAACGCTGGAGTAATCACGATGATATGGACAATGACAGAGCTAACAAGACATCCGAGAGTGATGAAGAAACTGCAAGAAGAGATTCGAATAACACTTGGATCCAACAAAGAGAGAATCACAGAAGAAGATTTAGAGAAAGTTGAGTACTTGAAGCTAGTGATCGAGGAAACATTCAGATTACACCCGCCTGCTCCTCTCTTGCTACCAAGGCTAGCAATGGCTGACATCAAGATTCAAGGCTACAACATTCCCAAGAACACCGTAATCCAGGTCAACACTTACGCGATAGGACGCGATCCCAAATGTTGGACTAGCCCTGAAGAATTCATTCCCGAGAGGTTCTTAAACACTACTATCAACTACAAAGGTCAGCATTTTGAGATCTTGCCCTTTGGAGCTGGTCGTAGGAGCTGTCCCGGGATGGCCTTGGGGATAAACATTGTCGAGCTCGGCCTTCTTAACCTTCTTTACTTCTTCAACTGGAGTTTGCCCATCGGAATGACCATTGCAGATATTGACATGGACGAATTCGGATCTTTAAACATCGCCAAGAAAGTCCCTCTTGAGCTCGTACCAACTCTTCATCACTCATAAACAAATTAATGCATATAGATCAGGATTTGTATGCTTACGTCTGCTGTAATAGGTTTTTTTGTTTCATTTTGTTTGTGCTTTACTTTTATCCTGGCTGGCTTGTATTGTGAAGTAAGTAGATTTCATTTTTACATGTAATGCTTATATCTTCAATAAATTGTATTAATCTAAAATGGAAATTTGTATCTTCTTTTTTTCTTTGAGTTGTCTTCAAAACAAATTGTTTGTGCTTTAATAAAATTTATATAAATAAATTATCAAACCTAATTAGTTTGTGGTTACAGTAATCAGTTCCAAAAGAAAATGTTTGGATTTGTTAGTCGCCACGTTATATGTTGTCGGTTTGGTTAGACAGAGATTTTTATTATATAACCTATATATGTTTTTTGAAGATCATCCTTCTCCACCCATTTACACACAAGAAAATGACATGCCTAGGGAGAATTGCCTAAATAAATTCAATTCATTTGATATTAAAAATATTAAACAAAAAAATTGATTCAGTATATACCAAAGCCTAACCACATGCATTGCCTATATATGCCTCTTTAAGAACCAAATACTCTTCATTCCAAATACAAAGAAGAAGAAAAACAACAATAATGTCTATCTTCCTATATATCCTCTTCATTTCCCCTCTCGTTTTGATCCTCTTGGAAAAGCTTTTACCTTCGGAAAGGAAGCTACCTCCGGGACCTACGGGTCTTCCGATCATCGGAAACTTGCACCAGCTTGGAAGATTGCTTCACAGTTCTCTTCACAAGCTCTCTTTAGAACATGGACCAGTGATGCTTCTCCATTTCGGGGTCGTCCCGATGGTCGTGTTCTCTTCCAAGGAAGCAGCCAAAGAAGTTCTCAAGACTCATGACCTAGAGACTTGCAACCGACCTAAGTTGGTGGCGAACGGATTGTTCACTCACAACTTCAAAGACATTGGGTTCACTCAGTATGGTGAGGAATGGAGAGAGATGAAAAAACTCGTGGGGCTCGAGCTATTTAGTCCGAAAAAGCAAAAGTCTTTCAGGTATATCAGAGAGGAAGAAGGTGACTTGCTTGTCAAGGAAATATCAAAATCTGCACAAACACAAACCCTACTGGATTTGAGAAAATCCCTTTACTCCTTCACGGCCGGTATCATATTTAGACTCGCTTTTGGACAAAACTTCCACCACTCTGATTTCATCGATATGGACAGAGTTGAAGAGCTAGTGCAAGAGTCCGAAACCAACGTGTGCGCGTTGGCATTCACTGACTTCTTCCCCACGGGTCTCGGTTGGCTTATTGACCTAATCTCTGGTCAGCATTCGAGGATGAACAAAGCCTTTTCTAAACTCACTAATTTCTTTCAGCAAGTGATCGATGAGCAGCAGTTAAAGATCGGACAACCCCAAGATCATCCAGACCTTGTCAGTGCCATGTTAGATATGATCATTAGACCCACTAAACTCGGTTCTTTCAAGATCACCTCCGATCATCTCAAAGCAATGATGACGGTGAGTTTTATATTGGAGATAACTTAAGGAACTCGGTTATTGTTTTGATGGTCTATTTATATATATATATATATACATCTTGTTTCTGAAGTTTCATTTTTGTTATTCTCGTTTAAAATTTAAAATCTTGAATAATTTATGCAATTTAATCAGGATGTGGTTTTGGCGGGAGTGAACGCGGGAGTAACAACAATGATATGGCTGATGACAGAGCTAATCAGACATCCAAGAGTAATGAAGAAGCTCCAAGATGAGATTCGAACAACACTCGGACCAAACAAAGAGAGAATCACAGAAGAGGAACTAGAGAAAGTTGAGTACATGAAGCTGGTGATCAAAGAAACATTCAGATTACATCCACCTGCTCCACTCTTGCTCCCAAGACAAACAACGTCTGACATCGAGATTCAAGGCTACAACATTCCAAAGAACACCATGATCAAGATCAACACATACACGATAGGGCGTGATCCCGAATGTTGGACCAACCCTGAAGAATTCGTTCCCGAGAGGTTTTCGAATAACTCTATCAACTACAAGGGTCAGCATTTCGAGCTCTTGCCCTTTGGAGCTGGCCGTAGGAGCTGTCCCGGTATGGCCTTGGGGATCACCATTCTTGAGCTTGGCCTTCTCAACGTTCTTTACTTCTTCGACTGGAGTTTGCCCAATGGAATGACTATTGAAGACATTGACATGGAAGAAGCCGGATCTTTAAACATCGCCAAGAAAGTCCCTCTTGAGCTTGTACCATCTCTTCATCACTCGTCATGAATAATTCAATAACATCTCTTTTTCTTCTTCTTTTCTTTCCGGGTTCTAGTTTATGTGTAACAAGTGCTTTGTCGTAACTAGAGAGAATTATAGGTAAGAGAACAATGTGACAAATCATTGAAATTTTATATAAATTGAAATAAAGAGCTTTGATCTGTTTTATAGGTTCATAAGATGTCGTGGAGATGAAGAAAGCATTACTACTAATATAAAAGTAGAGAAGGAAATTACAACACTTCTTCCGATACAAAACCATAATTAAGTCTTAAAAGTTCTCATGATAACGATGATAGGGATGGAGATGGAGAGGGTGATGAGTGAGTGACTTAACCACGAGTGACGTGGATCTTGATGGAATGAACACGTTTCCTAGCATCATGAATCATCTCGCAAGTGACGCTATCTTGCTTTTGAAGTCTGTTCCTTCTACAGATCCTGTCCCATCCTTTGAAAAATTTCCTATTATCTGCCCATTTCCCTCTTGCTCCTTCCATTGTACCTTCTTCATCAATGTATGTGATCTTTGGACCAAAGGTAAGCCCATTGGCTTTCACCGCGTCTGCTGGAATCAGCTACATTAAGAAAAGACCAACAAAAACGTGTTACACACCTAATTTATCTGAAGCCGACAAAGATAGTAAACGAAATGTGAAGTCCTTTGTACCAGCTCATAGATCCGGTTCTTGAGGCTGGTAGTGAAGGATGGATAACCCGTAACCTCCAAATTCGAGAGCCCTGCAACAACTAAGAGAAACAAAAACAATTCTTTGATATTACTTAGTTGTGTATGATTCAAAATGTTAATTACTATAGATTATGGAAAAAACTATCTTACCTGCAGCATCAGATTCTGACTCTTCGCTGTCAACAGTGTAAATTCTCTGGCTGGCTTCTTCATCTTCACCAACAAGTGAAGGATCTTCTTCTTCTTCTTCCTCTTCACTGATGCTAATGTCGCCATCACTTCCATCAACTGAAGTATCTTCCTCATCTTCTTCAGAAGAAGAATCAGCGTCAGGAAGCTCGACGGTATCCACCGCAGCTCTTATCTCCTTACAACCATCACGAGCGTAGACACTGACTTCGAAAGTACTGTAACCGTCGTAGACAAACGTCAAAAACTCGCCGTCCTGGAGATCATGGTCCGCTGCAAACTTGGACCATCCAGATGTGAAATACACACACTGGCGTATTCTCTTCATGCTCTCTGTCCAAGTTCCTCCTCCAATGCCTTGGAGCTTCGCTGTCCGTGGCAACGGATCTTCAAGATGTTCGTTGAAGGACATCGGGATCGCCTGAAAAATCCCAAACACACAGATTAAACATCAGAAACTTGGTGATAGCTCAAAATCAAAAGAAGCCACGGTGGCTTGGTTTAAACAGAGTATGGAGCCAAAGACACAGTCACACATTGAGGAGAAACATTGAGAATTTTCGCATCAGGCAAGAACATGAAAGACATTATGAAACCACACATATTTAAGAGCACTAAAGTCATCTGAGTCTCTCTTTTTTGTCAAGTTAAGCAGCGTGCAGACATAAACTATGAAGAGTAACAGAGGAATCCAGAATCTTTTATCACTTTCAGTCGTTCTCTAACTAACGATTTGATGCAGAAAACATGATAAAAAACAAAACCCTCACACTGATTTCTGCTAATTAACTATATATCCCATCCCCTAAGCCTGAAAGTCTTAGACTATCCGAACTAATACTTAAGATTCCTGAAAGTCTGAGACTTTTTACTTACTACACAGTTATGGAAGAATGAAAGAAAAAGAGAGAGAAGGAGGTTTTTACCAGTGATTCAGAGGCCGTTTCTGAGAGGAAAACCTTGAAAAAACGTGGAAGGACAACGTCATCTTCAGTATCAGACATAGTTAATGCTTCTCTTAGCTCAACAGGGAGACAAACCTTTGAGAGAGAGAGAGAGAGAGAGAGAGAGAGAGAGATCTGAGAGATTTGTTAAGGAGAGAGGAATGAGTATAAAGAAACGAAACTCTAAAAGCTTGGGAAAACAGAGTTCTACTAATTTTCATATTTACAGTTTGGCCCCATATATTCTCATAAATTACAGTCAAAGTATAAAGAAAAGCTGATTTTGTTCGTCTTCTGTTCGAGTCTGTCCGTACCGTACATCACCCATTCCTCTCTCTGCTTAACACATATTTTTTCTCTGTTGTCAGTTTTCATCTCCTTTTTGAAAACAGAAACTTTCTATTTTTCCTTATTATTTCTTCCTACATCAGAAGAATAGATTATCTAATTGAATTTAATGCTTTTCTGCCTAAACTCTGCTTTGGCGCAATAATATTTTCTTTTAGAAATTGTTAAATACTGTATGTTCGGATTTCAATAAATATCATATACGTTACCTACACTTACAAATGAAAGATTATAAATAACATGTATAATAACATTTATACACATGTTATCCAGTTACAAAAAAAAAAAAAAAAAAAACATTTATACACATGTTGAATATTTCAACAATAGTACATCTTTGCTATATACATTGTCACATTGACACAGAGAAAGCTTGTCTGAGACTGAGGAATTGTAAATCAAAAATAAAAAATGATAATAATGGAAAGTTTGCGTGTCTTTTTGTATATAAAAGAGAGAGAGAGAGAGAGACTAAAGTGCTTCTGTTCCGTTATTCACATATATTTTGACTTCATATTTCTCTTACAACTGATATTTGACTTCATGTTTCTCTTACAAAGTTTAAAGTTAAATTTGAAGTTTAAACTTCTCTTTTCTCTTGTTTACTAAAATGAGATCATGCGTTAATGCAGTTTTAGTTAGAATATCTTACAAACCAGATTATTTCATTACCTCTTAAACTCCACAGTACTCGAGAACTCGTTAGATTTAAAGTTTAATGACGAACAATCTATAACATTACTAATTTTTTGGTGCATTTTTGAAGGATGGGTTACATAAGAATCTAATAGAGCAAAAGAGAACAAAGCAAGAACCATTGATTCCTTCAGGCATCATCTGATTCTCATCACCCCTCAAGTTGATCCTCTGCATTGATTTTGGAATACAATTTGTTTTGTAGTTTTGGAGACGAGGCGGAGACAGGCCTTGAACTTGGCTTAGTTTTTGAATTCGACGACTCTTGTATCGGAGACTTTCCAGACTTTTTACTGGCGGATGAAGATGATCCATGTCTTGCCTGTTTAACAGAGAAAGAGAGAGAGCCATCAATTACATACTAGTAGATTCCAGATAGAATTAGATGAGAGAATATACTTGCAGAGCTGATTTCAATAATAAGCAACAACAAACTCTGCAAATTTGGTCTCTATCTCTCTCTCTTTTCATGAACTTTGGGAACTTACTCCATCAAAGAAGCCGATTTTTGGTGATGGCACACGGAGACCTGATGGCTTCGTGGAAGTTGGAGGAACCAAACCACCATTGATAGCTGAAACTCGTTTCGAGCCTTCCTTAGCATCGGCTTGAACAATGGATACATCTTTAGAGCTCTTGAGAGGCTTCACAGCCGTCTGTGCTGTGTTATCACTTGCAGTACCCTTTTCAGCAGAGGCAGTTTTCTGGTCACTTGTAGCCATTTTGCTAGTAGCAGAAGCTCGTGATGACTTTGATGAACAGTTAGAACCAGCAGATGGTAGACTAGAGGAAAGCTTGGACTTGGATGTCTTATTGGTTGGGTGGGGTGGGATTCTTGGCTGGCCCATAGAACCTCTAGATGTAAATCTATTTGCCAATGGCTGGGAAGCTAATCTGGAACTTGAATCATTCTTCTTCTTTATTGAATCTAAAGAAGATTTGTGAGAAGCGCTAGATGAAGCACTGGCACAGCTCTCTAGTGAAGAGCAGGAAGATGTCAATTCATTCTTTGAGGCAGATGGCGAACGTAAAGTTGACTTATGCACACCAGGTTTAAGCAATGCGGGTCTAGCACTTCGCGAAATGGAGACTATAGGACCCAAAGGCTCTTTACCTGTATACTTCAAGGTCATCAAATATGGACGAAAGAGGCAGGCAATACAATCTCCAAGATAGAGTTTCTGACTAACCCGCAGATAAATTCGAATTCTTTTCTTGTTTGGCTTTGTTAATATCTAGTGATGCCTTGTTCGTTGATGTCGTTGACAAGAGCCTGACTTTGCTGAGTCCGTTTGGTGGCTTGGAAATAGATGTACTGAGACCTCTTGTAGCAACAGGCTGTATCAAAAATGTATCGTTGAAAAAAAAATCAAATATCAGGGTAAGCCAGAACAAGTTATGACAAGCTCCTAATTCATACACTCAACAGAAACAGTTGTCAGATATGTTCATTAATCACTGGAAACCTTGAAAACCCCATTTTTCTCAAATTGTCAGATAGAACTTGAGAGTAAGACATATATATATCCTATAGTCAATATGTGTCTGAGAAAGTGAGTGAAGATATAGACCTGTTTTGTTGCCTTCCCTAGTCCTTTTGCTCTAATACTCAGCTTTTTAGGACTTGCTTTGGGTTTCATCTAAGAATTAAACAAATCAAAGAAAAAGTTAGCTGAGAAAGGACGAAAAGGGAAGAAAAAAAGGGTGCAGTTGTTAGCAGATTTACCTTCTGCTGAGTGGCAAGGACGTCCACTGTACTTGAAGCTGGAATTTGAAAAAAGGTATGCAAAAGATGGTTAACTTGGTAACAAAACGTAACATAAATTAACCATTGCGAAACGCCTTGAAACAGCACTTCCAATGATACGAAATTAGAACACAATAGCTAAATAATCTTCCCAAAGTGAGATCGAAAACTTGGCATCTAAGGGTAGCTCACATTAGATACTAGCTCGCTAAGAAGCTATAAACTGAAAGGCAGAGGGGAACTGTTTCGTAATTGAGAAAAGCACAAACGTAAAACTAAGAAGAAGACCTTCTGCATAGAAAGCCAATCATAGACTAGACCTCGAGCTGTCTGCTTAAACAGGCAAAGCTAGTTCCTTTTCCTCTACGCGAGATAAACAATAAATAAGACTTACTTGGGCTAATTGCTCCATCTTCATTAGTTTTTCCAGGTGTTGCAGCATCAGATGCGTTAGCAGACCTTTGAATAGACGCTCTAACATCTTCAAACAGAACAAGCTCCTGACTGTTGTCGACAGTGTAGTCACTTTGAAATGTAGAAACGGACTCTGTTGATCTATTAATATCCTCTTCAATGGTCGGTAAACCTTTCCTTGCACTCTTATGATCGCTTTCCATCATACTGGATAGTTCTTCGGGTTCCAAAACACCTGATTTTTTTTGACAAAAGTAGTTGACACAATCAAAAACTTACTAATATCCTGAAGGGTAACAAAAGGTATCTGGTTCGAAATGCACTTACCTGCACTCGTGAAAAACGCATTGTCCCAGGCAAGACTTTTGCGCAAATTATACTTTCCACTTTTAATCACCTTCTGCGGTTCAGGCGACTCACGAGGTTGAAGCACCTCTTCCTTCTCTTCTATTGAAGAGACCAGTGTCTCTTCGTCACAGTGTTCTGTATCCTTCAAGAAACTTTGATCTTTGTCATCGTTCAAACGTTTTTCATCCGCATCTGCCTCTGAAAGTTGTCATTGAAGAGGGTGCCCAAATGTAAGCAAAGACCAAAACTTTCAACATACAACGCAAATGTAACAACAGTCGGCGTCGATAAATGGATCTAAGGTCAAACTCTAAGTCCAACATCAAATCCAAGAACTCATCGTGGTACAGTCCACTAAGTAACCTAATCACCATGAACAGTAGAGAAATCTATAAATCCCAAATTGAAATTTCTCCAAGTAGTAATCAAGCGGAAAATCCTCTCTCTTTCTCTCAATCTAAAAATAAATTAGAAAGAGGATAAACCCTCTACACTCGAGCAGATTTGGAAATTCAACAAAACCCAGAACCCATCTAAAGCCAAATAATGAAATCCAACATCAAACGAGAATGCAGAGAAGTTATAATTACCGGAAAACTCGTAGCTAGTGGGATCGAGAAACGAGGAGAAGAGGAGGCTATCGTCCTCAGAAGCGACATCAATCAGACGAAGCCCATCGGCCTCGACCTCGCTTTTCTTGGTCTCTTTGTCTTCCATGAACAAAGATTAAGCAGAAATTTTCGAAATTCCCAAATGTTGCGTTCGCACAAGATCCCAATGATTGAGGAGGAGGAAGAAGAAATTTTGAATGTAAAGGGATTTTTTTTCTTCCCCCTCGATCGAGGGTTTTTGAGTTACACAGCGCGGTTCTTCTTACTCGATTCTCGATCGTTGGATTTTGATAGACTTCCTTTAATTGATTGGGTTTGCTATTTCGGTTTAATTCGGATTTTTCGGTTCGATGTTAAATTCGTATCGGCTGAACCATTCGCACTAAATTGTATCCTTTGATACCACATAAATTTCAACACCATTAAAACCATAACTATTCAAATATCAAGTTTATGAACTGTTATATGTTATTCAACAGTCGAATGTAGAACAACAAAAAATCAAATTGAATTTAGATTATAAATCTTTAAAATGTTAATTATGAAAGTAAACCGGCTAACAACATCAAACCGAAACTTTAAAATGTTAATTAGTGCATGAACGAATCCATAGACCAAGCAAGTTGCAGATCAATGACATTTTCTTAACACCAAAAGGTAAGAAACTAAACAATCAAAGTGAAAGAGAAGAGATGCTTCTCAAAATCTCAATTCTTATATTAAGCAAACCAAACTTTTGCCCCCTACAACACAATCATATACAAATCTCCTCTCTCCCAAAGCTGAGACACCAAAGTCCAAATCTATGAACAGTGGATCGCTCAGATTCTTAGAAATAGGAACAGGAATAGTTGAATCTCCGAAGATTGTGATGAATGTTCTCCTACTACTACTACTCTGTGTTTGGCATCTGAACCATCATATGCGAAGAAGCCTACAGTCATAAAAACAAGTTTAATCAGTTTTTTTCCTGCATATTCATGGATTACTAATACCATCACGATGCTAGATGCAGTGGTAGCAATTCAAAACAGGGAAAACATGAGGTGGATAATCCGAGTTCATGTCCTCTTGTCCAGATTTCAATAAGTGGATATATGCATATACAAAGTTCATCGAATGTACTGAAGTTGCTAAATGCGTTAATTGTCGTTAACATTCTTTTGTCTACTCCTGTTTTTTTGCTCTATGTAGATAATGTATACATATATAATAAGCACTTACTTGAGAGTTTCCATAAGGACCTTGTGAGAAAGGGCCTTGGTGAGCAATCTGTGGGAACTGTTCAGAATGTAAAGAGAAGAATGTGTTAAAAGTAGCTCCGCACAAGGCATAAGAGACAAAAGATACTGCAAAAAATGAACATGTTAAACTTGAGAAGAACGAGAACCATCATTACTTGGGACACTTGGCTTGCTTGACCATCTCTCTTAGCACTAGATTCCCCACCTTTTCCTGATCCCTTACTGTCACCCTATCAGATAAATAACAATGGTAGACGTAAGCAAACAATAATAATTAGATGCAATCATACAACATATGCCCCAAAACAAGGAGCCACGGATAAGTAAAAAGAGGAGAAAGCACTGACCTCCATCTGCAAAATTCCAATCCACATCGCATAGAAGCAGTAAGAAAAGAAAGAACAGAGAGTCAGTGAAGTGAATTTTGCAGAAATTCTCTTCATGCATAGTAATATTTGCCACAATACCACACAATATTGTCCTTTGTTACCCCATTTGTTCAAGTGGAAACTGAGTAAGGAGAAGTGGATCATACCTCTCTATATCTCATCAGGTAAACCTTCAGGGGCTCGATGTAATCTTCGAATCCTAAAGTGGTCATTGCCCAAAGCAAATCATCTCCATTAATAGTCTTCCTTTTCTCTCTTTGGCACTTATCACTCGCTCTGCGTGACAAAACATTCACAAACATCATCAAAAACCTTCATTGATGTCCCAAAATGGTAACCCAACTTCAAGGAATCAAACAGCATATCCGTAAATCTCCCAACCATATCCAGATGTTGATGTAACCCCCCAAATTCCAATTCACAGAACAAAAAAAAAAACCTAAATCAGCCAAAAGTGTAAACTTTTTGAGAAATTTGGAAAAAAAGCCATTACTCGCTGGTTATAAAGCTGATGAATTCAGAGACGCATTCCTGCATCGTCTCTTTGGCGTCTTTAGCTATCTTGCCATTGGCGGGTAGGCCTCTCTTCATAATACGGCTTATGTTAGCGATCGGAAGAAACCTGTCCTGCTCACGAACATTCAACGACCTCGGGCTCTGGTCTCCGCCACTCTCATGGCTTCCGCCGCCGCCTCCTCCGGGACTCATCTGCGACGACTTTGCCTGCGAATCCGCCATCTCAGAAAACCCTACAACACAAGACGCAAACAAAACGAAGACAATCAGAGACGTAACAACATCCCGGGAAAATCGAAGAGCAAACCAGAAAACGGAGAAGTGAGGTGAATACCTGAGTAATTTGAAAAAAAGAGCGGGATTTGAGGTTTTAAGAGTTTTATCGCCGTTCGTTTGGAGGAGAAAGGCGAAGGAGAGAGATTGATCCGACGCTGGAGAAGAGAAGAGGGAGAGCGTATCGCGCCTGCGATTGAGAGATTAGGGATTTAGACTTTTTTTTATCACCGTCCGTTTATAAATATAGAGACTTTCTCTCAATTCTTTTCTTTTTCTTTTTAGTACATTAAAATTCAAAACTACCAATATTAAAATTTAATGAATGGGGTAATTACTAGCATAATGTTTAGTAAGTATTTACTATTTACTGTACATACAAAACTGTTAATTTTAGTGTTTTACAGTAAAGTCCAATACATTATTTTTTATGATATTGAATGATAAAGAGTTTTATTGCCATGATGAAAACTCCTATTTTTACACACAGAAAAAAAGACAAGGTACTATATAATTTTAAGTCTTGATCCTTGAATGCAAAAGATCACTTCACAATTACAGTTTTGAACACCAAATGTGACAGGAATCCAAAAAAAACGTATAGAAATCAAATCGAATTTTACAAATTTACAAACAATAACAATGCCATTTAAAAAAAATATATATCTTATAAAAGAACCAAAAATATTAAAAAAGAATCATTTATTACTTATGGTTTTTCTTGAGCAAGACACCAAACTTCTTCAACATTTTGCCATTCTCGACAGAATCAGTTCTCACTTCATCACTGTTCAGTATAGAAGCTGCAGTCTCAGCAGCTTTTCTCCATTGCTCACACTGAACCTTCACTCTTCTAAGCTCAGCTTCCATGGCTTCCGTGTTTCCGCTCTCCACTTTCTTCTCCATTTCACACCTCAGACTCTGCAACTCCATCTCTTTATCCATTAAACTCCTTCTCACCTCCACTAATTCCGATTCAAGCTTCTCCAAATCGCCTCTAAACCCATCTTCTTTCTTCTTATCCACTAACCCTTTGCGCAAAACCTCGACTTCAGCTTTGGTTCTGTTCAATTCTTCCGTCAACTCGGCGTCTCTCTGTGAATATCTCGATTTAACCGCCTCTGTTTGCTCGTAAGCGTTTCTTATCTGCAACGTGCTTTGTATATACTCTTCTTGATACCTTGTCTCCGCTACTTGAACCGCAGATTTCAACTGGCTTATCTCATTCCTCGCGAGATTCATTGCTTCTTTCAGACTTTCCACTTCCATCGATGATGATGATGATGATGATGACGAGTCTCTGCTGTTTCTTCTTTCTTCCTCGAGCTGTTTCACAAGTTTCTCTAAAGACCTTACCTCAAACTTAGATTGCTCTAGCTCGGACTCGGACTCAAAGAGCTTCGACTTCAGTTTCTGTACCTCGTTGATAGCACAAGACAAGGCAGCTGAATCCATCCCGTGCTGTCTCTGCATAGCTTCAAGCTCGGATTGCCACGTCTTGTCTCGCTCCTGCGAGAGCTTACGCAGCTCCTCGATTCTTGAATCTTCTGATGCATTGATCTCCATTAACTGCTGTTTGGCCTCTTCAGCTTCTTCTTGAGCTTCCCTCTTCAACGCTTCTGATCTTTTAAGCTCTTCTTGAAGCTGAGATATCTGAGATTCCAGCTCCGGTATCCTTCCTGTCCGCTTCTTCTGAATCTTTGAAAAAGCAACAAATCATATAAAAACACAATACTGAGTGCTTCAACAAATCAAGAATCCAAGTGAAAATGCATACACCAAAAATCAAGAACCTTTCAAAATCAGTATAACTGCAAAAGTAAATACCTCATTAAGAGGGATTCTTTGTGAGCGGCGATCAATTGCCACTTTTGGGATTTGAGTTTTGGGTGAAGTTTTGATTTTTGGATCAGATTCTGCTCCACTTGGCTTGATTCTCCGACCAACTTTGGGAGCTGGTAATGAAGATTTCTTCTGTGGCAACTCCAACGAGCCCGGCCTAATCACACCATCACAATCACATTAACAACAGTGAAACAGATCATAAAAAAAAACTTACAAGAGAAAGCATTGCACATCACCTTGATTTTTGAGTTTGCATTATTTGGTAATCAATTGCGTTATGATTGCTTCTTTGAGGAATGTGACAAACACTACATGAAGACAGATTTTGCAAGTGTGAGAAGGAAGCAAAAGAGGAAATTGGAAGTATAAGATATTCTTAAGCATATATACAACAAACTCAGAGGAAATAGAAAGCTTAAGCAAGTCTACAAAAGACTATAACAAATTTAAAAAAATAGTTAGAATATAACATTACACGCTAGCTTAAAAGAGACTACTACTACTGCCACCAAACGAAGGTAAAGAGACAGGACATGAATATTGAATTTGTTTTGAAACAAATTAAAAACGCATTTTGAAGTGTAATTAGAAAAGAAGTAGCCGTCAATGTGATTCATCAAATCAACAAAGATAAACCCTATTACAAGCAAAGAAAGCTCCATATCATCCACATAATCTTATTGATTGTTAAGTCACCAATTTTTCTGGTTTTTATTGTTTTTTTCTCTCTTTTCAAAACTTTGGAATTATGGGGAAGAAGAGACAATTTCTTGTCATTTAGTCAATGTGAGATTTTGTTTTATTAGGTGGATCTTCCCAAAAAAAGAAACACAGATGCACAAGTATAATTACCCAGAAACCAATCATTTTACATATGCCTAAAACTAGAATCTTTTAACATTTTCGGCAAAGAAAAGGATTAAAAAACACAACAGAAACACTTTTGCTTTTGCAGGAAAACATTAAAAAAATTACTGAATTTTGAAGCTACCAAACAAAAAAAAAGGAATTTGATTTGAGTATATAAAGTAAGCATATTTAAACTCTAAACCCATCAGAGATTTACAATACTGCAGCGAATTAGCAAACAAACTTGAAGAGATGGGAACAAATCATGTGAATGAAAAATAAAGAAGAAAAAATTTGAGTCGTGAAGAAAATCACCTTGCAGCGTCGATTTATTTACCCTTTCGTTGGAGAAATCGGATTAAAAAAAAGGAAAAATAGAAATGAATAATTACAGAACCAAAACACGAATTTTAGATAACTCGATCTTCAGACATATCTCTCGTCGGATACTCGGATTTGCTTTTCTTCTGACTCCCGAAGCCTTTTTTTCCCCAGTGAGCAACATTTATTTTCTACTTTGCTAAAGAAAAAAAATATTATTAAAAATAACCCCTGAAGTAATGATTGTGTTGTTTCCACCTCGCTTTTTTAATTTTCAGTACATTTTTTTTTTGGCTTGACATTACAGTTTTGCGGTGTAAAATAAAGAAAAAGAAATTAAAATAAAGTTTTTGATATATATAAATCCGTTGCAATTTGCAAATAGGTTAGATCTTGTGACGCAAGCAAAACAGACACATCTAGGGCTACGAACAGAAGCAAACTAGTCCACATACTCAGTATCAGGCCTGATCTCCCGACCCATCGGGTGTTTCTTCGGCTTTATGCTTTTTGGGACAAGGTTCTGAGCTATCCCCAAAAAAAATATATGTTAGTTTTGTAAAATATAATTGACCTTTGGATTCATTCTGAAAATCTCCATTTTCTCTTTGGAATGATTAAAAAAATTCCATATTCTACTTGGAATGATTAAATTCTAGTGGAGTTGATAATGCGATCACGAAATATTTGGGGGGTTATTTCGGAAATAATTGAGAGAATGAAAGTAGAACGTGGAGAAGGCGTTTTTTTAGCTACGCGCTTTGTTGACGCGCCCGAGTCACGTGCCACTGTTCGGCCTCAAATTGCTACTTATGAACGAACGGTCACGCAACATACTTCAGTCACAAGACACAGTCCAAAAATCGGTTTCTTTCTTCTCTTTTTATAAAATCATAGATTTAGTAATTTGACAGCCTTTTGATCATGTTAGCATGTTATGTACCAGATGGTCCAGATCTTTCGTATATCCTTACATATCTCGGTTTAATTTTTTTTTTGGATTAACAAAAATAATAAGATTTGAAATTAAAAATTTGATGATTATCTAAACAAATCGATAGACATGATTTCCACACCAAAACAAAAATCCACAAAATAAGTATTTGAGAGAATTGATGAAGACAATCTGTTGACTTTGTTATTTTTACGGCAAATAATTTTATTAGTTTATTAAAAGATATATTATATAATGTATTTGAATATATATATATGTAGAACATGTTACCATTTTTTCGACTATAATAAAATAGAGAATAATTCTTATGTATATTTTCTTAAAATAAATTCAGGCATCGATTGTTTGAAAACAATATACTCTACAAGATTTTTAAATATCATAAATACTATAAGAAAGTTTGCAAATGGCGTTTAAGAATTGGTCCTAAAGATGTAGGATACTGGATACATTCTTTAAAAATAAAAATTCTTAATAATTTTGTTGTTGTTATTTTAAAGCACTGTAAGTTTTCGAAAACGAAACATATGGACATGGTTTTTGATAAGTTCAAGCTAAGTGAAGCGGGCCTTTACTGAGCTTGAGAATTGAAGAAAGAATCTGAAGCCCAAGCTAAACATTATCTCAACTTATTTACGATTTTTGCCATTGTTTCTAACGTTTCTGTATTTAGGTTCGTTCTCTTTTTGTACTCTTCATGCAATTAATCAACAACAATCTATCAAATTTCTCCTTTTTCTCTCTTCCTCTCTTGATACCATTTCTAGACAAGTCACGGGCTTATTGATAAGATCACCGGCCTTATCAGTTTTCTCACTATTGTTGGCTTCGTGGTCGTATGAGTAGTTACAACCAATGGAGTTATCTTTAAATGTTATACACTATCCATTATCATTCTCCATTGATAATCATCATTTTAAATGTTATCTTTCCTGGCTAAGCCATATGAAGAAACAATCTTGGACATTCTTTATATCACCATGCTATTTCAGAGAAATATTTTATTCTTAAATTAGTTTTAAAAAATAATGTAAATGAATTAACATTCACTCTATTTATTTTTATTATTTTATCATCAATTTTTGATTAAAAACATTAATTTTTCAAATAATAGCCATATAGATGATTATATTTTGCTTAACATATGCTTATATTTTGCTTAACATATGTTTATATTTTGCTCATTTTTTTCTTTACAATTATTCATTTTTGTTCTTACTTTCTTTAGTCAATGACTCAATTTTTTTTACATTTTTTGTTTTTTTTTACTTAGATTTTTGCATTTATTTTGTTCCATCTTTTATTTTCTGAACATCTACAGCTTTTGAAGTGACTGTATCCGCAACTCTTGAAGTGGCCGTATCCGAATAAGAGGTTTTCATGCAGCCAAAAAGCACTCATACATACAAACCCATGGACATGGTGTGGTGCAGCTGTCTGCTTTATTTTTGGCATAGTTCTGATCATCTTTGGGATATTAACCTTGACTCTCTTCTTCGTCATCAGACCGAGAACCCCAAGTTTCGACATCTCTGATGCTAAAACCAGCACAATCGATATCAAGGAGCCGGGGTATTTCTATATTGATCTGGCTTTACTAGTAAATTTCACCAACTCAAACAAGAAACATGATGTGAGGTATGATAAAGTTTCCGTAGAGCTCTGATCTCCAATTAAAAGATAGCCACACAACATGTCTTGCCGTTTAGGCATTTTCCAACTAAAAGATAGCCACACAACATGTCTTGCCGTTTAGGAGCTCAAAAGATAGGTGATTACCAACCAATAGACTACGAGATCAGAAGTGTCTTTAGAGTGAATGCTGTTCTTGGGATCATCCACTATTATTATTGGTTGCAGGGGAGTTGTCAGCTTGGTTGACCAGTCCACCAACCAGCGGCTTAGTTTGAACTGCACTACAAAACGTTGAATATATGTAGAAATGTATACTTGTATGTGCTTTGATTTTTAAATGAGATGCATGTTTATATGTACCATACAAAACTTTGAAAAACCAAATTATTACCGAAGTTGCCCGGTAAAGGTGTAAAGGTGTAAACAGTGGTGGGTCATCAATTGATCATACCGGTGGTAGTAACTTTAGGTGGGTCATTATCCGGCTGAGCAGAGTATAAAGCAAGTGATGACTGTTCTGGTGGACTTCATCGTAGCAGATCTTCACTGGAGATTTGTTAGGAGGTAATGTCTTCTCTGATTTGTCTGTTGTATCTATGTGGGTGTATATTATGGGTTCAGTTATGTTAGTTGAAACTTGAAAGCGTGGGAAATATGGACACTTTCACGTTCTGATCGGAAACGAGTTCTGTTATTCATTATTTATGGAAAATATGGATTACACTAAAGTTCTGTCTTGTCGTAACAATTAGCTTATCTCTCTGCATTACCATAAACGCAGCTATACAATTGCGATTTCACAGAACAAAATGTGTCCATAGTTTTATATCATGAGCTGTACAATTTTATAATAAAAAAAAATGTTACTTGCATCATTCAAGAAACAGAGCTCTCTTATAGCTTCCCTTTTCTCTTCCTCTCTTTCTGATATCACATTTCTCTGCAGCTCCACTTGATTCTCCAACTCTTCAACTCTAGTTATCAATTCTTCTTCCATATCGGTTTCTGGCTCATCAGACACAAGCTTAGTGTCTTTGACATACATCTGGATCCATCTATTTTGCGCATATCTTATTAAGATGCGATATTGATCAATATTTTCATGTTTAGATTGTTGCGTATATCTTATTGACTTATTCAAATGGAATGTCGATCCATATTTTTCTGTTAAGATTGTGTATTTTTCTAAGATGACATATTCCAAATTTTTCGTAGGAGCATAAACTTTTTCAAAATACTCTCTCTATTTTTAAATAATACAGTAAAACTTCTATAAATTAATAACATTGGGATTATAGAGATTTATAAAAATTTATTTATAAATATTATTCATTTATATATATGTTATTTGATTGATAAACTAATATCGAAACATTATTAATGAATCAAGTATTAATTTATAGAGGTTTTATTGTAGATGTTTTGAGTTTTTTTGACATATATTAAGAAGAAATAAACAAAATGGATGAATTGGAATAAGAATTTTAGAAGATTTTGTCATTTAAAAAAAATCATATTATTTAACTAATTAATAATTTTTAAATCTCTTCAAAAATCCTAAATTATTGAACAAGAAATATATAGAAAACCAATTAAAATCATGTTATTCAATCAATAATTTGTAAAAATTAAATTACATTTACTGTTATTGTATAAATTTTCAGTAATGGTTTTAAGAGTATTTTGGATGATTTAAAATGATTTTGATGGAATTTATTAATAAAAAAAGTTCAAATCTCATTGTCTTAACTGAGATTTCATAAAGTTTTAATAGCAAATTATAATAACTTTCATAATTTATTCAAAATCATCTTAAAATATGTTAAAACTCTTTAAAACTCAAATTCTTTCAAATTTTGCAAAATTATAAATTGAATACATCCTCAAAAAACTTCTAATCATGTTTTTATTAGTTTTTACTTAAGTTTTTATTTAAATCATAAATGTTATAAAGGTAAATTTGAACAAGGAGTGTACCTACAAAATTGAAAACAAACAATCAATTACACTTTGAACAAAATGTTGAGTTGATTCATTTGATCAACCACGTGAAACAATAAAAGAAGAGAGAATAAGTAACTTACCTTATAAATATCAATATAGATATTAAGAACCTGAACCATTAAAGAACAAAACTTACTTTCCAAAACCAGATGATGACGTTGTCGTTTGGTTGATAGCTTACAAAATCAGTAGACTCAACCAATCATATACTGATCAAGTGTGCCATCAAACTTCAGGCTATAGTCTTTTCTCACTTTTCCAGCAATAACCTACATGTAACCATCAGAAAATACAATCTAATAATTAAATAAAAACGGAAAGAAAAAGACTTTCAATTTTTGTCTTTGTTTTCACTCAGTTTCTCTCTTCTAAATATAATATCTCAAAAATAAAACTAAATCTGCTAAATGAAAATGCAAGAATAAGGAAAATTTACATTCAATTTTGACTACTCTTTTAAAAAGTTATCATATTTTTAAAAAGTATCAACATAATTATAATAAGGTAATACTAATTCGATGATTATCCAAATTAAGATGAAATGTCTCCCTCTTTCTGCTCCAAAGCTATTGGGCCACAATAATCATGTCTTCAACACCCAAAATAAATGCCAATCATTGGTTCTTTAACTTGGTGAAAATAGCGATGCTCTAGTTTCAATTGGATGTAGTTAAATCGGTTTTCACTTGTAACTAGTTTTTCATCACCTAGCTCTGAGAAGGTAAGACCAAATACAATCAAGTCATCAAATGTTTGAGCATCCACCTCAAGCATGTTCTTGTATTGCTGGTGCAAGAACTTGTCAGATTGAATCAAGTTTTCCAAGGAGTAGATATGCTTTCCAAATAGGTGAAGGAAGAAGAGATGGTCGAGCATGACAGCAACTTGGATGTGGTGCTTCAAAGCAAGATAGAACACCATCCCAGCAAATTTATACTTTTGCAAATAGAATTTCACCATTGGTGTTGGATGTGAGAAAAACCGCCTTGGATCATCTGGAGAAGATATAAAGAGCAGGTTCTTAGGATTAACAAGGAATTGACAAATCAAGTAAATCAACTCTCTTAAAACTCCATCTCCTTCAGCTTCTTCATTTAGGAATCACACATTGATCCCTTCATGCAAGAGCAGGTTCTTAGGATTAACAAGGAATTGACAAATCAAGTAAATCAACTCTCTTAAGACTCCATCTCCTTCAGCTTCTTCATTTAGGAATCACACATTGATCCCTTCATGCAAATCCAGTTTTTTCTGCCAGCCAGCAATTGACTCAGAGAATCTTCAAACAAATCTGTTCTAGAAACCAAAGGGTGGACCATAACAGACGAATCGAATAGATACGAACAAAGCTTTGCCTATGATTAAGATAGAGAGACCAAAAATATTAATAACAAAGTAAAGCGTAATAGCATATGAAGAGAGCTTGCAAAATGTAATGGGATGGATGAATTGGAATAAGAATTTTAGAAGATTTTGTGATTTTTTAAAAAAAAATCATATTATTTAACTAATTAATGATTTCTAAATCTCTTCCAAAATCTTAAGTTATTGAACATAAAATTTATATAAAACTAATTAAAATCTTATGTTATTCAATCAAGAATTTGTAAAAAGTTAAATTAAATTTATTGTTATTGTAAATATTTTAAGTAATGGTTTTAAGAGCATTTTAGATTATTTAAAATAATTTTGATGGAATTTATTAATAAAAAAAAAGTCAAGTCTCATTGTCTTAACTGAGATTTCATAAAGTTTTAATAGCAAATTATAATAACTTTCATAATTTATTCAAAGTTATCTTAAAATATAAAATATGTTAAAACTCATTAAAACTCAAATTCTTTCAAATTTTCCCAAATTATAAATTGAATACATCCTAAAAAAATTTCTAATCGTGTTTTTATTAAGTTTTACTTAAGTTTTTATTTAAATTATAAATGTTATAAAGGTAAATTTGAACAAGGAGTGCACCTACAAAATTGAAAACAAATAATCAATTCCACCTTGAACAAAATGTTGAGTTGATTAATTTGATCGATCACGTGAAACCGATCACGTGAAACAACAAAAGAATAGAAAATTTCTAAATATCAATATAAATATTAAGAACCAAATGTTGTCCTCTTGTGACTATGTTCCTTTTGGCGATATGAGGACAATAAAGGCAGAACAGGGGCTAGAAACTCGAATTGAGAAGAAAAAGACTGGCGGGGAGACACATAACGGGGCGGGGAGACGGTAGAAGATATTGTATGCCATTCGTCGAACTAAGTTTGATCGATTCGTCGAACTAAGTTTGATCGATTTGGTGGAGACCGGAGAAAGTCGAGAGAAGCAGAGAGGGTACAGAGCTTTAAACCCAAATACCTTTTAGCTAAAAGTGTTATTGTGGGGACCTCAAGTTTTTGTTATAATGTATGTTATCTATACAAGTATAATGTGGTATAAACTCTTCAATTCTTCATCAGAGGATTTGAATTCGACAACCCCACTCCCTTTTTTTTTCTAGCTTGCAGCCACTCAAAACCCAGGGCCGGCTTATGCATGTTTCAGAAGAAATCCGGAGTCATCATCATAGGTTGGTGTTTTGATTTCGTTTTCTATATTTTTCTAGTCTCTACTGCACATTTGGCAAATTGCTGATTGAAAATTTTCCAAGTTTTTATAAAATCGCTCATGTGTACCACCTGCTCGATAAAATGTCTGAGAGATCTATTCTGTTTCAGCAACAACACTACTCCTGTTAAAATGTCCTCGTGATTCGTTTGGATGAAATTAGCCGCCTTTATTTAGAGTTTTGAGAGAAATTGTATCATGTTTATAATTATTTGAGTTTTTACTTCTGAAACAGGATTTTGCAAAGAACCTTGGTGAACCCTTTGCTTGTTTTGTTGGATGCTGACATGTCTTTCTTGCTGAACCTTCTACACCTACTCCTTTCGCGAGGAGGTGTTTGCTAGGGTTTAACAAACTTGGTCGAGATGGAAAAAATGTTAAGATCAGGAGCTAAAGCTGCCTTCAGCAACAGTCATGTACCAGCGGCATTAAGTGTGGTATCAACCATCAAGACCCAAGAGTCGATGAATGATCACATAGATGCCTTATGTAAGCAGAGATTTTACAGGGAAGCAATGGAAGCGTTTGATTTCTCACAGAATAACTCAAGCTTCAAGATAACTTTGAAGACCTATGTTTCTTTAATCTGTGCTTGCTCTTCTTCGAGATCTCTGGCACAGGGCAGGAAGATACATGATCACATTCTGAAATCCAACTGCAAGCATGATACGATTCTTAACAATCACATTCTATCTATGTATGGGAAATGTGGCTCGCTGAGGGATGCTAGACAAGTTTTTGATTCTATGCCTCAGAGGAATTTGGTCTCTTACACATCTGTGATCACTGGCTATTCACAGAACGGCCAGGAAGCAGAGGCGATCAGCTTGTACTTGAAAATGCTTCAGGAAGGTTTAGTTCCTGACCAGTATTCATTTGGAAGCATCATCAAAGCATGTGCTAGTTCTGGTGATGTTGGGTTAGGGAAGCAACTTCATGCTCAAGTCATTAAGCTGGAACCTGTTTCTCATCTTGTTGCTCAGAATGCTCTGATTTCTATGTATGTCAGCTTCAGTCAAATATCAGATGCAAGCAAAGTGTTCTCAGGTGTTCCAATGAAGGATATAATCTCGTGGGGTTCGATCATTGCAGGGTTCTCGCAGCTTGGGTACGAGTTAGAGGCTCTGGGCTGCTTGAAAGAAATGTTGTCTTATGGAGTTTTCCAGCCAAATGAATATATATTTGGTAGTTCTTTAAAAGCTTGTAGCAGTCTCCTTCGACCAGATTATGGAAGCCAAGTACATGGGTTATGCATTAAGTCTGGGTTTTCAGGAGACGCATTTGCAGGCTGCTCGCTCTGTGACATGTATGCTAGATGTGGGTTTCTGAGTTCTGCAAGGAGAGTGTTTTATCAGATAGAGAGACCTGACACAGCGTCATGGAATGTGATCATCGCTGGACTTGCGAATCACGGCTACGCTGATGAGGCTGTGTCGTTTTTCTCACGGATGAGGAACTCTGGTTTTGTACCTGATGCTATCTCCCTGCGTTCTTTGCTCTGTGGCCAGACAAACCCAATGGCTCTGTGTCAAGGCATGCAAATTCACTCTTTCATCATCAAGTACGGCCTGCTGACGGATCTTTCGGTTTGCAACTCTCTGCTTACCATGTACAACTGCTGCTCGGACTTGTATTGTTGTTTCAGGATGTTCGAAGACTTCAGAAACAAAGCGGATTCTGTTTCTTGGAACGCTGTTCTGACGGCATGTATGCAACACGAACAGCCATCAGAGGTGCTGAGATTGTTTAAGCTGATGCTTTTATCTGAATGTGAACCAGATCACATAACCATGGGTAGTCTGTTGCGTGCTTGTGTAGAAATTTCATCTCTGAGACTGGGAAGCCAAGTCCATTGCTATAATTTGAAAACCGGGTTGGTGCTTGAACAGTTTATAACAAACGGACTGATTGATATGTATGCAAAGTGTGGGTCACTGGAGCAAGCGAGAAGGACTTTTGATTCAATGGACAACAGAGATGTGGTTTCGTGCAGCAGTTTGATAGTTGGATATGCACAGTCTGGATTTGGAGAGGAAGCTCTCGTACTGTTCAAGGAGATGAAAAGTTCGGGGATTGAGCCAAACCATGTAACGTTTGTTGGTGTTCTTACCGCATGTAGTCATGTTGGTCTTGTGGAAGACGGCTTGAAGCTGTATGCAACCATGCAAACGGAATACGGGATCGCACCGACAAGAGAGCACTGCTCTTGTATTGTCGACTTGCTAGCTCGTGCTGGCCATTTAGATGAAGCTGAGAAATTCATCGATGGAATGAAGTTGGAAGCTGATGTAGTCGTGTGGAAGACACTACTGTCTGCATGCAGAGCCCAAGGAAATGTCGATCTCGCCCAAAAGGCTTCTGAAAACATTCTGAAGATAGATCCTTCAAACTCTACGGCTCATGTATTGCTTTGCGGCATACATGTTTCTTCTGGAAACTGGGAAGACGCAGCGTTGTTGAGGAGCTCGATGAAAAAGCATGACGTGAAAAAAGTTCCCGGACAGAGCTGGATTGAAGTTGAGGGTGAAATGCATGTATTCTTTGCTGAAGATGTTCTTCATCCAGAGAGGGACGACATTTATACAGCTCTGCACAACATCTGGTTAGAGATGCTTGATAAATGTAATCCGGAACACAAGAAAAGACCCCGGTTTGATCCAATGAGACCGGATAAACAAAGCTTTTTGTTCCATGTGGAAAATACATGATATGCATCTAACAATTATATAAATACAACTCTTGATGATCTCTATACAATCAAGAAAATGAAACTTCTCATTTACTTAGAATACATACACTCGCCAATAACTCAGCTATTAACTCGCCAACTTATGGCAAGAAACAGAGGTATTATTCCACTCTACTTCGGCTCTATTTCGCTTCTCAAAGAAACTTAAAGCTCTAAAACCAAACGAGCAAAGCTTGCGTACAAAGACCTTTGTGAAAAACAAAATACCACGCTAATGACACCATCCGAGGAGACGATAAGGGAGGAGGCTGAAGCTTTCAAAAAATGGCAAGGTGTGGCTGAGTTGGAGGAGGAATTTTACAAGCAAAAGTCTAAGTTGCATTGGTTAGAAGTTAGGGACCAAAACAACAAGACTTATCATAATGCTGTAAAAATAAGAGAAGCAAGGAACACAATTCGTGAGATTGTATGCCCCGAGGGTACTGTAGCGACTACAGGTGACGCAATAAAACAGGAGGCAGAGAGATTCTTTAAGGATTTCTTAACTCATCAGCCAGGGGATTTGGAGGAAGCCTCGGTGGAACAATTAGAGAGCTTCATTGACTCTAAATGTGCAGAGAGAGACTGGGAGCAGCTGGAAAAAGTAGTCACTGCTGAAGAAATAAAGAAGGTTTTGTTCTCTATGCCGAGCAACAAATCCCCAGGCCCGGATGGGTTTACCTGTGAGTTCTTCAGAGCAGCTTGGCCTGTGATCCAACACGATTTTACGATTGCAGTGCAGTCTTTCTTTATCAAAGGTTTCTTGCCTAAAGGAATCAATTCAACGATTCTAGCTCTTATACCAAAGAAATCAGATGCAAAGGAGATGAGAGACTACAGACCTATATCCTGCTGTAATGTTATCTACAAGGTTATATCAAAGATAGTAGCCAATCGGCTGAAAGGCTTAATGCCAAAGCTTATTGCCCCAACTCAATCTGCTTTTGTTAAGGATAGACTGCTGATGGAAAATCTACTCTTGACAACAGAACTGGTAAATGATTACCATAAAACCACAGTGTCACCTCGATGTGCAATCAAGATAGACATCTCAAAGGCGTTTGACTCAGTTCAATGACCATTTCTGCTGAACACCCTCAAGGCAATGAATTTTCCCCAAAAGTTCATACATTGGATACAACTTTGCATCACCACGGCATCATTCTCAGTGCAATTTAATGGTGATCTGGCTGGATACTTTAGAAGTGCACGAGGTTTAAGGCAGGGGTGTTCTTTGTCTCCATACTTATTCGTCCTATGTATGAATGTTCTCTCAAAGATGTTAGACGATGCTGCTTTGGCGAGAAGGATTGGATATCATCCAAAGTGCAAAACTATTCCGTTAACACATTTATGTTTTGCAGATGATCTGCTGGTATTCACGGATGGAACAAAGCGTTCAATAGAAGGGATACTTGATGTTTTCAATCTTTTTGGCAGACTTTCGGGTCTGAAAATAAGTTTGGAAAAATCAACACTCTATATGGCGGGAGTCTCTCAAACTACTCAAGAAGCAATTCTCTCAAATTTCCCCTTTGCATCCGGACAGTTACCGGTACGATACTTGGGACTGCCACTTTTAACGAAGTGCATGACATCAAGTGACTACTCTATTGAAGTTAAACTTGATTTTGGGTTAAGCTTAATTTTGGGTTTATAAAATAATTATTAGTTATTAGATTAGGCCCAAAATTAAGCTCAAGTTCTAGAATCTCTAGAAACATCACTAAAAATCATCATCTTTCTTAAATGTTCTAGAGAATTCTATTAGTTAAATATCTAGATAATTCTATAGATAATTCTAGATGTTGTAGTTAAAATTCTAGATATTATTGTAGAAAATTCTAGAGATTAGGAGAATGTTTGTAAGATATTTTGTAATAAGTAGAGCCTATAAATAGCCCACTACTCCATCATTTGTAAATAAGAGAAGTTGAACAAATAAAGAAAGAGTGTTCTTCATAAGTTCTCTTATTCTCTCTAAAGTTCCTTCAAGTTTTCTCTAAGTATTCTTTCATCTTATTATTCATACTTAGAGGGTCTTTGTTTCTTTCGGATCTCTCGGGTATTACGGTCTTGGGCTAGTGCTTGGCACTATCGGTGTTTTCTTTACATACTCTCCTCTCGTAGAACAGATCAGAGCAAGGATAAGCACATGGATAGTTCGTATGCTCTCTTATGGAGGAAGACTACAGCTCATTCGATCAGTTTTGATGAGTATTACAAACTTTTGGCAAACCGCATATCGGTTGCCAGGAGCGTGTCTCAAAGAAATCGAGCAACTCTGTTCTGCATTCCTCTGGTCTGGCCCTGCACTCAACGCAAGGAAGGCAAAGCTAGCATGGTGTATGGTCACAAAGGAAAAAAACGAGGGGGGACTAGGACTGCGACCTCTTAAGGAGACGAGTCTAGTGTGTGGTTTGAAGCTAGTGTGGAGAATCACGTCCACCAACAAATCTTTATGGGTTCACTGGATCCACCAATATCTACTAAAGAAGGAGTCCTTTTGGTCAGTACAGGAGAAATCAACCTCAGGCTCATGGATGTGGAGAAAAATCTTGAAACTAAGATCAATAGCAAGAGCTTTTCATAGAGTTGAAGTAAAAAATGGCAAGCGAATATCATTCTGGCATGATCATTGGTCATCTTTAGGCCGCTTAGCAGAGATTTTGGGATCCAGAGGATGCATTGATATCGGGATACACGCTAATGCAACAGTTGCTGAAGTAATTGCTACTCATCGGCGGCGGAGGCATCTGGTAGATTTCTTGAACCAAGTTGAGAACGAAATTGCAGAACTACGGGAGACCTCAAACCCGAACGACGAGGATGTGGTGCGATGGAAACAAAAACCAGACAAGTTCATGACGAGATTCAAATCGAAAGACACATGGAATCTCATTCGAGAGGAGCATCAGAAATATGATTGGATCAAAGCCGTTTGGTTCACTCATGCCACGCTAAAATACTCGTTTCTTACTTGGCTTGTCATGCATAACAGGTTAACTACGGGAGATCGTATGTTGAAGTGGAATGTAAACGTAGATGCGACCTGTGTTCTTTGCCAACACACACAGGAGTCAAAGCAACACTTGTTCTTCTCATGCCTGTATTCAACTCAAGTATGGGACTCCCTTGCTAAAGGTATCCTAAATGATGATTTTTCCACTGAATGGGACGAGATTATTCGGGTTATGCAGATCTATACAGACCGTATCCATTCTTTCACCCTCCGATATGTATTTCAAGCAGCGATTTATGGAATATGGCACGAGCGTAACCGTCAGCGGCATAGGGAAGTAAATGTACCAATAATGCAACTGGTGAAATTCATCGATAAGCATGTTCGAAACCGTCTAAGCTCCATTAGACTCAAGGGGGATCAACGCTACGAGGGAAGTCTCTCGTATTGGTTTGCCACAAGAGTGTAATTCATCTATTAAGCTTGATTTCAAAACAAACTTTCAAACTCTGTAGCACTTGCTGTACAAAAGGTTTTTGATTGAATAAATTTGACATTCATTCGAAAAAAAAAAAAAAAAACCTAAACCCAAAGAAAGTTTTTAACATTGGACACTACTTGGATGAAATGGAATATGAATTTTAGAAAATTTTGTGATTTTTTAAAAATTTCATATTATTTAACTAATAATGATTTCTAAATTTATTATAAAATCCTATGTTATTGAACAAGAAATTTATATAAAACCAATTAAAATCTCATGTTATTCAATTAAAAATTTATAAAAATTACATTAAATCAACTGTTATTGCAAATATTTTAAGTAGTGGTTTTAAAAGCATTTTGAATAATTTAAAATGCTTTTGATGGAGTTTGTTAATCAAACATATATAAAAAATCAAATCTCAATATTTTAACTAAGATTTCATAAAGTTTTAATAGCAAATTATAACAACTTTTATAGTTTATTCAGATCAGCTTAAAATCTCATGTTATGTAATTAAGAATTTTTAAAAATTAAATTAAATCCAATATTATTGCAAATATTTTAAGTATTAGTTTTACAAGCATTTTGAATGATTTAAAATAATTTAGATGGAGTTTATTTAGATGGAGTTTGTTAATTAACAATATATCAAAAATCAAATCTCAATGTTTAACTAAGATTTCATAAAGTTTAAATAATTATAACAACTTTCATAGTTTATTCAAAATCAACTTATAATTTGTTAAAACTTATTATAACTCAAATTATTAGTTTTTATTTAAATCATTAATGTTATAAAAGTAAATTTGAACAATGAGTGCACCTACAAAATTGAGATCATTCATTTGTGTTCATCCTAGAGATGGAAAGTCTTGGAAGTGCACGAAACTTATCTCTGAGTAAGTACCTGCGAGATGTCCAGAAGCACAAGAGGTTGTACAACTCTTCCTGGCTCAATTGTGCTCAATTGTTTGACCACGTGAAACCAGAAAAGAGAAGAAGACTTACATCCCAAATCTCAATGTTTTGACTAAGACTCTGGTTTTATCCAACAAAGCTTTTTGTATCATGATCATGTGGAAAATTCATGATATGCCTTTTACAATTATATAAATACAACTCTAGATGAACTCTATACAATAAGGAAAGGAAACTTCTCATTCACTTAGCACACATATACTCGCCAGTAACTCAGCTATTAACAATTTAAAACCCTAAACCCAAAGAAAGTTTTTAACATTGGACACTACTTGGAACACAAGTCATTAAAAAAAAACCAAAAGAGAGACAAGTTAAGTCAAACTCTTTCTGAAAAAAAACCAAAAGAACATCCGAAAAAAACATCATCGAAGGAGAGAGGACTTCTGCAACAAGGAAAGCTAAAATAAAAAGTACTGTTTCAAACAACATCGTAGAACCAAGACTGCAAGCAAACGAATACACAAGAACACCAAGCAGAACAATTCAGATAACATCATCGAATGAGATTGGTGCTTTTGCGGCTGAAACCTCTACTTTCTTCTTCTCCAGCTCAGCTTCGAGATCTGAGCACTTCTGCTTCAAATCTTTCAACTCTTCATCGATTTCTTGGATCCGAGTCTCACCAGCCTCCTCTTTCTCCGTCTTTGCCGACATCTCATCAAGTTTCTTCTCCAAACAATCCAGCTTAAATCCAGCGTCAGTCATGGATCTCAGTGCAGCACATGCCACAGCCAGATCAGCCTTGTGAAGCTCGTGAGGCAATTGTCGCAGAGTCTCAATCACACCGAGTAGCAAACTCATGTAACCTGTCCTAAGATTTGGGTTCTTGGAACGGAATTCAGACGCAATCTCAGGTTGTCTTTCAAACATACGTCTCACAAATCCCACCTGAGCGAAAAAAGAAGAAGCAGAAGTATAAAGTAGAATCCATATTCATAGACCAAGAACACAAAAGAACACATAATGTCGTCTTAATCTGACCTGTGAAGAGAGAAGTTGAAAGCCATCAACGTCAATGGTTTCCATAATCGTTGAAGTTTCCTCTGACACATCTAATTTGCCAATAACTTGAAGAACCTCTACCTCGGCAACGACTTTGAGCTCTCCGTTTACCAGAAATCCGCCGTCTTTGGCAAGAATTTTATTCAGGGACAACTTAGATTGACCTATCCAGCGGAAACACTTCTCATCAAACCACTTTTCTACTTCTGTAAAGCCACAAAAACAGATTTTAAAATCAATCAGTGACGTGCTAATGTTTATGATACTGTCACTGAAAACAATATGGAGGAGACAAGAACTCTTTGCAGTGGGAAGAATGTAATCACCATTTTCATCAAAACGTTGTTGTATGGAGCTTTGAGTTACTGGATATAGGAGATATCGGGCGTGTCGTCTCCATCCACAAGGCAAGGATCTATGATCAACGACTTCCAAAAACAATAGCATGTCATCAAACAAACCCCGATATGCACAAAGACGCCTGCAAGAAACACATAAAAGAATCAGCAACACCACAGTTTATATGGACGAAAAACACTTTGGAAACACCTTACCATTTGCATCCACCGACTATGAATTGATCAGAATAAGTTTTCTGCGACAGTTTCAAAGAGGATAAATCCTTAATTGACCAAGTGATCTTCTTTTTAGATTGCTTCTCCATGATCTTTACGAGGGTTCCTCTGAAATCAAACTAACAGAGAGACGTCAAGAGAAGAAAACACCCCAAACAGTTTTTACTCGGACAACCAAACAACAATCTCAAGTAACAATACCAAAGTTGGAGTTTAAGATTCCAATGTAGCCTTTTACAAGTTCCAATGAGTAGGAGTGAATTCGAAACGTTTTTAAGTTTAGCGCGAGGAATGCGAACAGCCTTGTCTCTTTTGTTGATAGATACTCTGCCATGATTACCAATTTAATAAAGAGGACTTAAAAGTGTCTTGCGTTTTCAAGAAAACTCTATTGGCCTCTCGACTCTCTACACTTTGTTCATACCCTGAGAAAGAGATTTAATATAAGATCATGAGATGAACTCTTCACTGCCTAAGCACTCAAGACATCAAACAAGTGATGATATCTTAACTTACGCACCTACAAATTCGCCAACCATCTTTGTCTTTTCTTGAATGTAGTATGCATTTAGAGACATTAACCAGTTTTTGTAATAATCAAATGTTGACTCAACTTGCCTCTTGATTCTGTGAACACGTGAAATATAAGTCCAAAATGTTTGACCAAACTAGAAATCGATTTTAAATGAACAATCAGTTCGATCATTCTTTACTCTTAACGCTATTCAGTTTGGAGAAAGAAAAAAACTCAATTGTTCTAGGTAGCAAGATTAATGATGATGAATAAGGAAACCAAGAAACAATAGAAGCAAAATGACATTATAGATGAGAAACTGTTGCAAAGAGGATGAAGAGAGACTCTACAGCTTTCCAATCAAACGTGTGTGAAAAGGGAAAAACTAAACAGACCAAAACAGTCTACCCAAACAAGAGGGTGCGTGGTTTCTACTTACTCTCCAAAGTGAAATCATACAGGACTCAAGACAATCCTCATGACAGAAGTAAAGGAAGCAAAATGAGAAAAAAAAGCAAACCCACAAGGGAAAAGTGAAACTAAGCTCTGTGACTTATTCTCCAGGCACAGGGACACCTTGCTTCAGCTTCTCACGCTTGAGCTTCTTTTTGGAAACGGGCTTCTTCTTCTTTGAAGGTAAGTTCTTCTGAGCATACACGTAGAGCACGTAGTTGGTGATTAGGAACACAACGAGCGGAACTCCGACCACAAGCAGCACGATTAGTCCCGGGTTCAATCCTTTGGCTTCAGCAGCCGCCTGTTGAAATGTCAGACCAATGAGTGCTTATAAACCATACTCAAACACAGAAACAAGGATCTAGGACAGGGGAAAGCAAGTGCTGGTCACAAAAATGAGATTGGTTGATTATTACAAAGCATGCAAGAGATCACATTAAAAAACCATGATCACACACTATCAATGCCGTCTCAAGCGAGAAGAACATCGGTTTCTCATGCGAATTGAATTGATACACATTGTCAAATATCAATGCAAGAACTCAAAAAGTAAATTGAGTCATTGATTCTAATATCATTCTATGACTCAATCCAAATACAGCAAAAGAAATCACTTTTCCAAAAAAAAAAAGATTTTTGTCAACAAATTTAAAATCACAAGAAACTTTTTCCCCAAACAGGTTGTGAAATGCATGCAACCCCACAGCTGAATCAGATCGCAATTTTCTTCCTCGAAATTAGAATATATGACATGGTTTCTTTAGATCGGTAACAAGATAGTCCGAATTCCAAAGAACAACGAAAAGCAAATCACGAATACAAGCCTAAGAAATCTAATTGCACATTCCGGGATCGCAAAAGAGGAATCCGTTAAATTCTACAGAAGCTGCAAGCATATAGTGGCGATTGAAGGTACCTTTCCGGCAAAATCGTCGGCGCCCATGAATACGATCCAGAATCTGTGAGATCAGCTCCAGCAACGTACGAATGGTAGGAGCAAGAGGAGAATGATTTCGAGGAAACGGAAGATCTGTTTATGAACAAAGCGATTTAAGACACAAACACAAACAGATATGTAACTACACGTGTTTTATCCACTCTCTAGCCACTTCCAGTCATCGGAAAACTCCAAATTGGACCCCTTATGTTTTAGGTATTTACGAATTTAACCCGTATCTTTTGTTATTCTACTTTAGGGCCCTGATAAATCAATGTAAATCATCCGGTAATAAACGTATGTTGGGAGTTTTGTTGGGACTAAATTTAAATTTCGATTTCTTTTTTTTTTTGGTTTTGGTTTTATAATTAGTTTTATTTCAACTTGGTCTCTGACATTGTTGAGTAGTTAGATCAAATTCCGGTTAATCTCTTGAATGACTTCTTAACAAACCAATTTTGTGTTTTTATCTTACATACGAATGAAATGAATTAAATATTACTACAACAGTCAAATTCTAATCAAATAATCTAACCACAACATAACGCATACACGTTTGTTTGATTCTATCTTTCCATCTATTATAACAAATGGTCATCGTCGCTTCGAATCATAACGTTATGTTCGGGCACTGACCACGACGACGACCGGCTAGAATTTAACACCGCCGTGTTGCAATCGGAGAGAGTATCTTGCAAACTCAGCAACAAATGTGAAGTGCTAAAACTCATGGTGGGTCTAGATTTGGGAACGACCGGTACATCAGCCTCACCAATCAGCATTTGCACCACTGACCTCATAGTGGGCCGAGCCGCTGGGTCCGGGTGAGAACAAGCCAGGCCCACCACCATTACCCGCCACATCTCTCCTTCATCAAACTTACCTTCAAGCCTTGAATCAGCCGCTGCCGAAACTTTCCCTTCTTTATACAAACCCCACACCCATTCTACTAAATTCGGATTTACCGCAGCATTATGTCTCTGCACATTTAAGTCCTTCTCGATCGGTCTTCTTCCGGTGACCACTTCCAAAACAACCGCTCCGTAGCTGAAAACATCCGTCTTCTCCGTGGCACGTCCCGTCAGAAGATACTCCGGCGCTAGATACCCCATTGTTCCGGCGGCGACAGTAGCTTCCGGCGATTTATCGTGTTCGATTTGTCTCGCCAATCCGAAATCTCCGAGCTTGGCGTTGAAATTCTCGTCTAGCATTATATTGCTGCTTTTGACGTCTCTGTGTATCACTTGATTCTCGCACTCTCTGTGTAGATAAGCGAGAGCAGATGCAACTCCGAGCAAGATCTTTTTCCGGTGATCCCACGGCAACGGAAACCGTGACTCGAACAAGGCTTTATCGAGCGAACCATTTGGCATCAGATCGTAGACTAGCAAAATCTCGCCTTTCTCGTGGCACCATCCTTGCAGTCTGACGAGGTTTCTGTGTCTGAGACTTCCGATTATGGATAATTCCGACATGAACTCGTTCTTCTTGTCCTGTGAGCTGTGGCTACATCGCTTGACGGCGACGATGTCTCCGGTTTCCGGTAATACGCCTCTGTATACAATCCCGAAGGCTCCGTGTCCGATGATTCGATTCTCGTTGAAGCTCTTCGTGCTGGCTTTGAGTTCCTTGTAGCTGAATTCTTTAGGAGCTTTGATGATATCCGATGCGAAAGAATCAGATCTCTCGACGCGTTTGAACTTTCTGGAGTAGACCCAGAATAAACCGCCGGCGAAAAGTGCTAAGAAGAAAGCTCCGGCGGTTACTACTCCGGCGATTGCTCCCGGGTTCTCTTTGCAGAGGTGGTTGTGGCAAGACGACGACGACGAAGACAATGTTTTCGACTGGGAACTTATCGGAACCGCGGAAGAAGACGGTTCCGAAGCTAGCGGCGGCGGAGAGTTCGCCGAATTAGCTTTCGGGTTCACTAAATTAGCAGTCGGAGGAGGAGGTTCGGATCCGGATCCAGGACCCGACCCGAATGAGGAACCGAAGCTCCACCACTCAATGTTGTGGATCTCTGTACTTCCCTGAGTAGACCCGGAGAATCCGACGAACATGAAATCGTTCACGTATCGATCTAGATCGAGAGGGAAAGACAAAATCGGAGATTTGGGTTTCAGATTCGAGTAAGAGACCGATACGTTGAAGACCCGGCTCGACCCGTCGTATTCGATCCACGAATTGATGGTGTTTCCGCTCTTGAGGTCGATGTCTACGGTGCCGAGATCGCCGGAAACAGAAGAAACGACGCCGTTCACGTCGAATCCGACATGGTTGCTGTTAATGTCCTTGAAATCCACATCCATTAAAGTATCGAACTCAACGGCGACGAATTTTGAACCGGACCCGCCGGGACCGGCGAGACCTAGCGAGCCTCCGGCGGCGCCGATTGTATTTGCGTCCGGAGAGATCACGAAGGCGAGACCACCGCCGATGGAAGAAGGGTTGACATTGGTGATCGAGAAGGAGAAGAAAGTAGAGAAACTCGCCGGGAAGTGAGTTCCGGGTTGTCGAAATCTGACGGGACTAGAGTATAAGACTTTTCCGACGCCGGAGACAGGAACGGATATGTCACGCGTGAGGCTAACGATCCCATTGCTCAGACGAGCGTCACCAAGGAGCTTGAGGTTGCTGATAGGGAGCGTGGAGAAATCGAACTGAGTCGTAGCTCCATTGAAATGGCAGAAGCAGAGCAAGATCGAAAGTAAGAAGAGAGATGGGAGAAACGACATTATCTGTTTGGAACAATGTTTCAGAGAAAAACCATTGGAGAAGAAGAAAAAAAAAGATTAGAATTAAGAGATTAGGAGAGAGAGAATTGATGAAGGTCACGGGTCGTGTGTTGGGGCAATACTTTGCTTGGGGTAAAGTAAAGGAGAGGAAGAGACAAAGGAATAATAATATGGGACGAAGAGAGAAAAAGAGAATCCAAAGAGACAACGCATGAAACAGACAAGTGGATTGACATATATCGCCACGTGGGTTTCCCCAACGGCTAGTATCTTTTTTTGTCTGAAAAACAAATCTGTAGAGAAAAATGCGAGGAAAATTGGAAATGATGGAAAAGAGTCTTTTGTATTATTTTTTTTGACGTCTAACAAATAAGTAAATAACTACATGTAACGGTCGTAGACTAAGGTGATTTATATTTATTTGTCGTGGTCGTTGTGGGTTCATCATAGCTAAGATGCACGGAAAAGGTATTTACTGTATAACTTTTTGGATATCATATCAGAAAATTTGCAATTACCGAATTTTTTTATAAAGTTTTTCGTAATAGTTTTCAAATCATTAATCAGGGGGTGGTGGTGGGGATAAAAAAAAAGTAAAACCAAACAAAAGTTATTTCTTTGTCAAACCGCATCAGACAATAAGCTATATCCCGTGCAAACCAAATGCTAATAATACAAACTACTTACTGTACTATTCTTTTTATCCAAAATCTGAACTAGAACCGAATCAAACCGAACATAAAATATTCATACCGAAAAAAAGAATTTGGTTTTATTGCAGAAATGCTGTAGTTTCGTCGATTGGTTGGTAATGGGCTCAAACTGGGCTGGACTGAGCTATGACGTCAGGGCGTGTGTGATCGTTGCGTATCTTAAATTTCGGAACCCGAAATCGAAGAACCAACCCGCGACCCATCGGATCAAGTCTATCTCCAAATTCTCCCCAGTCGTTAAGTGCTCTCCCACGAGATATCCACCGTTGATTCCAATGACTTTTAAGAGTCAAAGCTTTGATAATAAGTTGTGTGAGCAAAGGAAAATAGAGAGAGAGAGAGAGAGAGAGAGAGAGACGAGCAGTTGCATCATAATAACCCCTTTGATTCGGATTTAGCCATTGGAGACCTCAGAAGAGAAGTTTGATTCTTTATCTCTGCGAGCACAGATTTTTAGTGATTTACATCGAAGAAGAGATAAGGGGTCATTTCCTGGGTTTCGATTTAGGTGAGAGATAAGAAGAAAAAAAAAAACCCTAGGGTCGTGGAATCGTTGATCAGATGCTGTTGGGTCGACGATTAGAGAAGAAGAAGAAGAATAGTAGCAAGCAAACATGATGAACACTTCTAATGGAATGATATCGGCCCCATCTTCATCGTCTTCGCCGGCTGCGAATCCTCAGTCGCCGGGGATTAAGACTTATTTCAAGACGCCGGAAGGGAAGTACAAGCTCCACTACGAGAAGACGCATTCCTCTGGTCTCCTTCACTACGCACATGGCAAAACGGTTACTCAGGTGAAGAATTTTCTTCCAGGATAATTCGATTCGCTTATCCGATTGAAACTTTTTCAGATTGGAATACGTTGGGGATTGTGGTTTGTAGTTACTCCAATCGGAAATTTGAGAGAATTAGGATCGATCGTGAAACTTTTGCAATTGAAAATTTGAATTCCAATGCTTGAGGTTGTTAGTTGATCAATCGGTTTCACTAGCATTGCTTTCCTTAAAGATTTTAGCAAATGAGAATTTCCTTGCGCGAAGTCTAGAAAATGGTTTCCAATGATGGAATTGGGGAAATTTTCCGTTTTCAGGTAACTCTAGCTCAGCTCAAGGAAAGAGCTGCTCCTTCGACTCCAACTGGTACTTCGTCGGGTTACAGTGCTAGTAGCGGATTCCGATCAGCAACAGCAAGATTGCTTGGCACCGGAAATGGTAACCGTGCGCTTAGTTTCGTCGGAGGTAATGGAGGGGGCAAAAATGTGAGCGCAAGTTCGAGAATTAGTGGCTCCTTCGCTGCTTCTAATTCCAGCACTTCGATGACGAATACAAACTTCGATGGGAAAGGAACTTACTTGGTCTTCAATGTCGGCGATGCTGTTTTTATTTGTGACTTGAACTCACAAGACAAGGTATATTACTTCTGATCATTGTTATTCTTTAAAGATGCAACTGTTTAGTGTAAACTGTAAAGTTCTGGTTTTTTTGTGGATTTAATGGTTAAAGAAACTTCTTTGATGCAGGATCCAGTAAAGTCTATCCATTTTAGTAATTCAAACCCTATGTGCCATGCTTTTAATCCGGATGCTAAGGATGGGCATGATTTACTTATTGGGCTGAATTCTGGGGATGGTAAGTAGAGGTTTCTTTTCTTAACCTCTGATCTAGATGCCTTGTCTTGTCAGTTTGTCCCGTGGATTTATAGTTATTGTGTGTTATTGTAGTGTACACTGTATCGCTTAGACAGCAGTTACAGGATGTCTCTAAGAAGCTAGTTGGAGCACTGCATTATAATAAGGACGGCTCTGTGAATAACAGGCAAGAGTCTTTCTTTTTTTGTGGAATTAATTTTCTACTGCCACCGCGAAATTATGCTATTATATGTAGTGATAGCTGAAGAATCTGTAAGGACCTGTATGTCTTCTTTGTTTCAGAAGTTTAGATCATTCATTTTCTGTCGCTGTAATGGATGTATACTCTAATCAACTCTCAGTGACAGTATATTAGTCAGATTATTAGAGAACTTGATGTCGTCTCAGAGGAGAACGGTTTTAGTTAGTTAAGTTGAAACATGAATCTGGCCAAAACTCCTTTTCAACAAGGAACTCGATTCCATTTTGGTGTCAGTTGCTCTCTAAGATTAGAAGAAAGTTTGTTGCTTTGTCACAGCCGGTGTACTAGTATTGCTTGGGTACCTGGAGGTGATGGATCATTTGTCGTTGCTCATGCCGATGGCAATCTATACGTGTATGAGAAGGCAAGCTCAGATTTCAGAAAACTGTTTCTTACGTATGACTTTAATTTGTTGCCTTGATCTTGTCTAATTCTTGATCCTGGTTAATTTAAAATTATAGAACAAAGAAGGTGCCACTGATTCAACATTTCCTGCTATAAGAGATCCTACACAATTTACAGTTGACAAAGCAAAATATAGCAAGGTACTTGAGTTTGAAACCATTTTCGTAGACTCTTATATAGGTGCTGGAATCGTATGGTAGATGTCTGTCCTCCGGAAAGCATCATCGGTTGCTACTTGCTAGTACCTAGTGGTCTTAACAATTTTTCGTATTATTAAAATTGAGAATTTTTATACTTTCTTTTCTATCCCTGAGTATATTTGGATGTACGATTGTTCATTCCCGTGAGTATTCATGCAGAGTAATCCTGTTGCGAGATGGCATATCTGTCAAGGTTCAATCAACAGCATTGCATTCTCATATGATGGGTCACACTTGGCGACTGTTGGAAGAGATGGTAAGACGCCTCTATTCTTTCGTGTGCCTCTTCTTCTTTCTCTATGTGTTTCTTAATTAATCATTAAGTTTTTCTTACCATGTACAGGTTATCTTCGCATTTTTGACTTCTCAACCCAGAAGCTAGTATGTGGTGGAAAAAGTTATTATGGTGCTCTGCTCTGCTGTTCTTGGAGGTGACTGGATATAACTCCTTTCGCAAAAAAATTTCCTCCTTGATTGTAAATTTTTTGTCTAAAGTAGACACCATTGTTGTGAGAATATTAGCTCAGGATGATAATGTCCATTGACAATGTGATTATTATATTGACAGTATGGATGGAAAGTACATTTTGACTGGAGGTGAAGATGACTTGGTTCAAGTGTGGAGTATGGAGGATCGGAAGGTCGTGGCGTGGGGTGAGGGACATAATTCGTGGGTAAGGTTCTTGATTTTAGAACGGTGATTTCTTTGTTTTAAACACAGACTTTTCAGCTGATTCATGTTGGAATGCTTGCTCTCAGGTAAGTGGAGTAGCGTTTGATTCCTATTGGTCGTCACCGAATACAGATGGGTCAGGAGAGCATGTCATGTACCGGTTTGGATCAGTTGGTCAGGTATTTGTTCATGTTCCTTTGCATTTAGCAAGAACCTGAAACATGCTTCATTCATGAGAGTTGCGCTTAGCTTCTCTATATTTATCATTTGAACAGTATAAATACTTAGAATGATTCTAGTGTAAGGACAACAAAGGGTGAGCGAAAATAGAGGAGAGATCTTAGTATTGGTCTCTGTAATGTTTCTTCATAGATATTGATCATGGAATGATCCAGCATTATCCAGATCACAGATAAAGAATCGTTAGTCTGCTAGGTTGAAAGTTGTAGAAAGTGAATTGTTTCCTTGGATCAAGAGTTGATGAGATCGTTTACAAAAATCAGCTACTCGAAAGTCTTAAGTTAACTTAATATGCTCCTACGATTTCAGTCTTCTTATTCTCCTATACATATATGACCTACAAGTCTTTGGCATCTCACACACTTTGCTGCTTTCCTCTGGTGAATCCACAGGACACACAGCTACTTCTCTGGGACCTTGAAATGGACGAGATCGTGGTTCCACTAAGGCGACCACCAGGAGGGTCTCCCACTTACAGCACGGGAAGCCAATCGGCTCACTGGGACAATGTCATACCAATGGGAACTCTTCAACCCGCTCCTTGCAAACGCGATGTTCCAAAGCTCTCGCCGGTCATAGCTCACCGTGTTCACACTGAGCCCCTCTCGGGTTTGATGTTCACACAAGAATCAGTCGTAACGGCTTGCCGAGAAGGCCATATAAAGATCTGGACAAGGCCCAGTGTATCAGAAACCCAATCCAACAGCTCAGAAGCAACTTCTACAATTGCACTCTTGAGCACAAGCTTCCCCAAAGACAACAAAGCCTCACTGAGCAGCAAGATCGTTGGTTCTATTATTTAGTCATGTTTTTCTCCTTCTAAAGTGAAAAGGAAACCGTAAAGGAAAGCCCTGTGAATAAAAATTTCTACTGGGTTTTGTTTTTTATTTTAAAAGAAAGATCAAAATCTGAAATCTGACTGTATATTGGAGGCTGACAAAATTTGTGGGCAATAGAGAAGAAGAAGAGAAGAAGTTGGGTGAGTCGAAAAAGAATTTTCTGATGTAATTATGAGAAGGAAGGGAAAGAAAAAAGGTATTTTGGTTTTTGGTTTTTGGTGTAAGACTTTCATTAGCCAATAAGAACTTTTGGTGATTCAGAAGATGATGACACTCTTTATTTTCATGCAGTTTGCAGACACTAAAACGATGATGCCTTTATCTATTTATTATTTACTTGGTTTATCGGAAATAATAATGTTCCTGCATTTTAGATTTGTGAGTGAAATCCAAAAGGTCCATGTCCTTTCTTGTTTTTATACATGATTATTAATTTTCTATTTTATTTCTTTGTTTAGCTAAACTCTTAAGAAAGTATATTTCTCTGCTATTACGTAAGTTTAAAAAGAGATTGTTTCAACAATTCGACTAAATTATTTAAATGGTAATCGAGTCTATTAGTATTAACCAATAACTACATACATGTACGTTGGAAAGAAAGAACCGTGACACGACCGACAAGAGATAAATCGAGGGAAGAAGACTCACCTAATGATATTTTGGAATATTCATTGCTTTGTCTCTTCCCTTATCACTCCACTCCATCAATGATTCTACTAGTAACTTGTTACTTGTTTGTCAAATTACCATAAAACATCATTTACGTGCCGATAACTATGTTTCCGTCTACATATATCTGTGGTTAAAATGAGTTCCCTTATTAAGTCTATAAAAGTTTCTAAAAGAAAAAAAGATTCTAAAAGGAAGGATCCATCACTCGAGAATTTTTTCTCTCTCAAATTTATGCATGCGATGTCTAGGTACCACTCACGATTGAAGACAGCTGGAACAAAATCAATTAATACTCTTTCCAATAGATAGAAAAATAGAGTCGTGTGAATTATTAGTGTCGGTGGATTGGATTCACTCTTCGAACCCTAAACCATACTCTTTAATGTGTAGTATGTACATACTTTCTAATAAATCCATCTCTAGGAAATAAATGTGATAATATAATTGTTTGAATAGTAACAACAAATGTGTAATGATATATCGAGAGTAATAAGCTTGAGAAATGAGATTAGTTTAAGTATACTATGCTACACCATCTCTTCTTAATCGTATTGCTTAAAAACCTCGGAATTATCAATGACGTAATCTCTGTAATTAGGACTGATTGATTAAAGTAATAAATATTGGTCCATTGGGATTTGCGAAACACTTTCCCGTATCTTATCATATCAAACCTTCAGATTATACATCTAAAGGCTTCACAGCTAACCACGTGGCATGATGTCGTCATCACTCTTCCCTCTCTCTCTCTTCCTCGTCCCTTCACAGTTGGCACTTTATTACTTCATTCACTTTCGCTCTCCGATCACAGATCTCTCGTGTGCCTTCTCTTTCCAGTTTTCAGTATTCCCATTCCGAAACCCTAATTCCCAAATTTGCTGACTAATTTCTTGTGTGAAGTAGAAAACCCTCCATTTCATCTTTGCTGAAAAGAGATACCGTACCGTACTATGTAGCTAGATCTCGAGAAACTCAGATGGTTCGATCGATTGGGTAAACAAAAAATGAATCTGAAGTGGGTTGTGCTGATGCAGAGACGAGCACCGAGAAGGGTCTGGTTAGGTTTGCAAAATACGACAGTTCTCCTCGTGGGTGGAAACCATACCTCCTCCAGGTTTTGCACTCGCTAAAATTTCTTCCTTCTTCCTCCCCCAAAATTTGGCCTTTCAAAAATCTCTCTTGAAATCACTCTTAGTTTCACTTGAATCTCTTCCAATTCAAAAACAACAAAAAACTCTGCTCCGATCTTGTTTATAACTTCTCGCCATGGGCGTTGAGCTGCTGAAGCTGAAATCGATGCCCAGCTCTTTCCGACGGCGCGTGATCCTACGCGCCCTCGTGATCGTCTGCGCTTTCTCTGTCGTATCTGTTATTCGGAACCTCGGCGGAGCTTACGAAGGAGAGAATCACCACCACCCGCGTAAAGTCGACGAGTGCGCCGTGAATTTCGCGTTTCTGGGTCCGTTCCTCCTCTCAGGCAACGGACTGTTCTCCAACAGATTCCTGAAACCGGTCTGGAGCTATCTGGAATCGGAGAAATGCAAGGATAACATCGATTTGACTACTCAAGTTGTCAAAGAGCTCAAAGTTATGAATCTGCTTAGTAACGATGCGAAAGCTCTCTGCATTGGCCGGAGATCGGTCTCAGCCGTTCTTGCGATGAACTTACAAGGAATCTCCGATGCTCGCGTGGCTTACGTGCCGCCGGTTTTCGCGTTCAAGCACAGGAAGCTCACGAGTGAGCTACACTATGAAGATGCTTCCTTCGGTTTCGTCTTCTCTATGGATCTTGAGACGGTTTCTGTACCTGCTTCGCTTGTCTATGAGATCGAGCGTATCCTTAAGCCCGGTGGAACCGGAGCTATGCTTGTGGGTACTGCTAGTGGGTCTGACTCGAACGGGCTGGTCAGATCGGTTTCGCCTGTTACTTCACTGCTGAAGAATTCGAGCGTTGTTCGTGTTGCTTCCTTGGGTGATCAGGTTCTGGTTGTATTCAGAAGAAACGGAGAAGAAGATAGTTTCCCTTTGGATCAAAGTCGTCATCATCACCACCTTCCGGGTGATTGCTTATCCGTCGTCAACAACCGACCATACATTGGATTATTGGAGCCTCTTCTCGAGGAGAAACGCTCGGATTTTGAGAGACGGATTCATTACTTGCCTGAGTTCATTGATCTCTCTTCTAGGAAGAGGTTGGTGTATATCGATATCGGAGCAGCGGATCATGTGACAGCGAGATCGAACTGGTTCTTCCCTTCATACCCAATCGACAGGAAAGCTTTTAATAGCTATTTTGTGCACCACAACACATCTATCTTGACCTCTTACGTCAAAAGTCCTGGTGTGACCTTCATCTATCATCCGGGACTCGCAGCGAGTAAAGCAACAAGAAGTAGTCCTGGAGACCAAGAAGAACCGTTTGTAGAAGATGATAGCTTCGACTTTCTAGCATGGTTCAAGGAAACAGCGAGCTTTGCTGATTTCTTGGTTCTGAAGATGAACACAAGCGACGCAGAGCTGAAGTTTCTATCGGAGCTGATAAAGACCGGTGCGATCTGCTCAGTTGATGAACTGTTTCTTCACTGCACAGGGTACAGTGACTGCAACAGTATCATTAAGAGCCTCAGAAACAGCGGCGTCTTTGTTCATCAGTGGTGGGAAGACTAAGAAGCTTCAGTGAATGAAGCTTAAATAAAACTAAAAACTATGTTTGTTCCGTAAGTTATGTTGTGTTGTTTTTGTATCTTTGCTCATGTATAAGAGCAAAGCCGCAGAAGTTTGCTCCAGCGACTGGGCGCTTCTACGGTTCTACTTAAAATAAGCAGTCGCCACTATGTACTCTGTGTATGTGCTTTTGAATGAAGTTGTTATGTTGTGTGTTTCTAGTGGTTTTCATACTCTGTTATACTATAATTTCAAGATCTGAACTCTGTTATATTTTACTGAACGCGCGGAAGAAAACCTGAATTAAAAGCGCCATTTGGCATATTTTTAGATAGTTACTTAAGAGTTCCAAATCCAATGCCTGCATGTATATATACCACAAGCATTCACATTGTGAAGATGACTCTGTACAAACAGGGGAAGAGCAACGTAGCAAAGGTCAGTGGTTCGAGCCATTGGTGTTGTTGACCGTTATCTCCAAAAGCCTATCCACTGGTTGTCTACAGATGGGACAGAGATTTGTCTGAAATCCCAAAAGCTTTGCACAGCCGCTACACATACACTGCGGAAACACCAAAAACATATGAAAGTTAGCAATCAATCAGGAAAAAAAAGCCATCTTTTCTCAATTTATATCTCCAAGAATAAGCTCAAGTACATAACAATACAGATGACCCACAAAATGTTCCTAGATAGAGCTTTTATATGCCTTACCATGTGCCTGCAAGGGAGAACAGTGGTGTCTCGTGGCTCTGTTAAGCAGATGACGCATTCTTTTCCAGACTCGTTCCCGTCTTCTCCGTTACGATCAACTGTATTACCAATTCCATAAATCTCCTGAAGAACATACTGTTTCCCATTCGCCCAAAGGATCTGCTTCACCACTCTCGCCCTGTACTCGCCTTTATCTCTCTCTAAAACCGCATGAGTTATCTGACGATTTGGTGTTTTCTTAGACTCGTCGTGATCGTGACTATCCTCCGGTGATGCCTCTGCCTTCACTGACACATGATACACATCAGACTCGCTTCCCTCAGCCAACACTGTCTCCGATAAAGCCGACAAGTCGATCCCTGTTCCACAAGGCTGCTTGAACTTCTGTCCCAGACCTTTCGGAAAACGAACTGTCGTGGAAGGAAACAGATCCTCCTTTGTCGCATTCAGGTCACACTCTTGGCCTTCTTCTCTCGCAAAGAACATCACAGTGATACTGTTTATCAAACAGACAAAAAAAACCCATAAGAATCACAATTGAAGTAAACCTAATACGTTTCTTCTTCATCAACAATTCCCAAACGGCCAAGAAACAATCTCGCCTTGGAGTGGAATTTCAGAATCGTTTACCTTCCAGAAACATTGGCGTCGAAAGTGAAGGAGAGCAGAGACTTGCGAGGGTTTGCTTCATCGGGCTCGAATCTCAAGGTCTCCTTGTTCAAATTAATGTCATTCCTTATAGTCACCACTTCCTGATTCTCAACGTTAGGAAACAGAGACGCCATCGCTCCATTAGGAACCGTAGCAGCACCTTGATGGTGGTACGGCGACGGAATCGGCGGGTAATAGCCATTGTACTGGTAATACTGCAGCGGAAGAGGATTAGGGTTTGAGTACGGCGGCGGAGTATGGTCCCGGCGATTACCGTGGCGGCTTCCACCGCTTACATTACCCATGATTGATTCCACTCAGCCAAAATCGGAATAGCAAAATCGAGACAAAAGAAGAATCGGAATGGAAGATAATCGGGAAAAGGAAGTCGCCGAGTGCGGAAACGGTCAGAAGATGATGATCATAAATATGACTTATTTTATTCTCTACCTGTTATTGATTTTTATTTATTTAATTATTTTTAACTCTCTTCTTTCTCTACTCTCTTTCTGCCTTTGTTCAACTATTTTCGTTTTTTTTTATTGTGTGTGTCCAAACTTTAAATAGGACAAACAAAATTAACAACTTTTCTTAATCACCTCCTTGATTAAAAAGTTTAAAACTAGTGTAGTAATTGGAGACATTGTTGATTTGTCTCAAAATTGTGACTTATGCAGCTTCATTTGTTTTTTCATTCCAATCACTCGATAAACTTCTTAACATTGGCGGTAGAAAAACAATTACACCTCACAAGAATTCACAATAGAGAAAGTAAAAAAATAAAAAACACACTAGAGAAAAAAACTGCAAGTGATTTGATTTCGATTTGTACACATAGAAGAAGATAACAACTATTAGTAGTTATCATTTTTATTATTTTCAGAATCTGTTTTGGTGGATTTAAACGTTTGCAGCACTTCTGAAAGATCCGAGAGACTTGGAACCTGAAGCCCTCAGCACAAATTGGTGGTAGAATGCAGCAATCGCAGCTCCGATGAATGGTCCCACCCAAAATATCCACTGTTCATCAAAGATTATATATCAATTAAAATCTTAATCATTAGTTAAAAGATTTATTAGTTAAGTTAAACAGAATGGGAGAAAATGAGGTCATACGTGGTCATCCCATGGCTTGCTCTCGTTGAAGATGACGGCGGCTCCGAAACTCCTTGCCGGGTTAATTCCGGTTCCGGTGATTGGAATGGTGGCCAAGTGTACCATGAACACCGCAAATCCGATCGGAAGTGGCGCCAACACCTTTCATTCCACCAATTCCAATTAATTAACTATTAGTATGATTCAATAAGTTTCAAAAATTCTAGCATATTATTTTGCGGTTTGGTTTTGATTATGACATGTTCAGTTATCTTATCCATTTATTTTCTTTTTGGTTCGAATTTTAAATTCGGTTTATAGATTATATGACTCACCGGAACGTGGGAGTCTCTGGCGCTGCGTTTGGGGTCGGTGGCAGAGAAGACGGTGTAGACGAGAACGAAAGTTCCGATGATCTCTGCGGCGAGACCGGTGCCTGTGCTGTAGCCATCGGCTAGAGAGTTGGCTCCACCGCCGTAACGGATGTAGTAAGAGCTTTGAAAGGCTTTGACAAACCCAACTCCACAAATTGCACCCAAACATTGAGCCACCATGTACAATATGGCTCTAACCAACGACACTTTACGGGCCAGTAATAGCCCAAATGTCACTGCCGGGTTTATGTGACCACCTAAGAAAAACAAAAGTCCACAAAATTTTATTATGTTGAATGTTGAAAGCTCAAGGCAAGCCATATAATTAAATCCTGATTAAGACCGGACCGAACCAGTATCGGATGCTAGACCGAACCAAAATAAAGATTGAAGAAGAGTCGTACCAGAGATACCGGCGGTGCAGTAGACAAGAATAAAGATCATGCCACCGAAGGCCCAAGCGATTCCGAGGATTCCAACTCCGCCGCAATCGACGCCTCCGGCAGTCGTATCAGACTGAATCTTGTAACCGATGACTGTCAAAACGGTGATGTACAAGAAGAGAAGAGTAGCTACGAACTCGGCGATGACTGCTCTGTAAAAAGACCACTTTGTTAGCTCCGCCGGATCAAACAGCGGCGCCGGCGGCGGATCTTGATAGTCTCTTGTCTGAAATCCTTCTCCGGAAACTGCTTCCACGTCCTTAGCCATCGTTAGTTTTCTTCAGTATTTCTTTCCACCAAATGGCTTTCTTTTGCTTCTCTGTTGTGTGGTTAGTGAGAAGAACATGTGCTCTGTTTTATAGTGAGAGCTCCTCTTGTTATTTTGCATGTATACTTTTTTTATTATTTTATTGAGCATTATGGTATTAAAATGTCGTTCTATGTCTAAGGTTTTTTTAGTCGAATTGGAATTTTTTTTTCTTTTTTTCAATTCAATATAAAATAAATGAATATAACATATATGTATGAGTGATTCCGAAGTGAAAAAAAAAAATTATGAGTGAATATAGTAATTATGATTACCTTCATAAGTTCATAGCTTTCACAAAATAATTAGAAGTTAGCTGTCTTTTCTTTTTTAAACATCATAAGCTAGCTGTCTTGAAATAAAATTTCGGGTGAATAATTGCTTGGTAATCTATATTAAATAAAAGAAACTATTTAGGGCTCCTTAAGCTATCCACCTCAGCTTTTTAAACTACTCTAAAAATATTACACATCAGCAAAAAATAATAATACAAATTTCCACTTTAGATTTTTTTGAAATACACATAAAGTAAATAAATAGAACCAAAATTAATATAATTAAATACAAGAGTAAATATTATTTTTTGAATCAATAAAATAAATGTTATTTAAATCTATAGCATCAATATATACTCTTTTGTTTGTAATATAACAAATTAACAATAATGAAAATTCTCACTTTAGATTTTTTGAAATACACATAAAATAAATAAATAGAACCATTAAATTAATATAGTTATTAGCAAAAACTAAATAAAACTATATATCATTTTAATCAGTAAAATAAATATCATTTAAATCTGTAGCATTAATATATACTCATTTTTGTCACTAAAATTAATATAGTTACCAACAAAAGTAAATAAAATTAAAATATTATTTTTTGAATCAGTAAAATAAACATCATTTAAATTTATAGCATCAATATATACTTTTTTGTTTGTAATATAACAATAATAAAAAAATTCACTTTATATTTTTTGAAATACACATAAAATAAATAAATAGAACCACTAAGTTAATATAGTTATTAGGAATAAGTAAATAAAACTAAATATTATTTTCTAAATCAGTAAAATAAATATTATTTAAATCTGTAGCATTAATATATACTCCTTTTTGTAATATAGTGAATATATTGGACAATAAATTGCTCTAAAAAACTTAAATAATAGTTAATAGAAAAGAGATTACAAAATAATAACTTTTAAAGTAAAATTTAAAACATTTACAAATTATAAAAATTTAAAACATTCACCTTTTAGAAACATACAGATTAAACATCATAGTACGTTAGATTTATGGCAACCAACAAGACAACATAAATTATAGGAAGATTTTCAAAGCATCTATCTATATGAAGATTTCGATCATCGTTACTATTTACATTGCAGAAAATGATAGAAAAAAAGAAGAATTTCATGCACTGATATTTATTCAATGTGTGTCTTAGTTGGCTTAAGGTAGTCAAGTTACTACAAGCGATACATGTCAACACATGAGTTAAACAGTTTATAAACAAAAAAATAAAAAGAACTATTTGGGGCTCTTTAAGCTATCCACCTCAGCTTTTCAAACTACTCTAAAAATATGAAACATCAGCAAAAAATAATAATACAAATTCCCACTTTAGATTTTTTTGAAATACACATAAAGTAAATAAATATAACCAAAAATAGTATAGTTAAATACAAGAGTAAATAAAAATAAAATATTATTTTTTGAATCAGTAAAATAAATATTAATTAAATCTATAGCATCAATATATACTCTTTTGTTTGTAATATAACAAATTAACAGTAATAAAAATTCTCACTTTAGATTTTTTGAAATACACATAAAATAAATAAATAGAACCATTAAATTAATATAGTTATTAGCAAAAACTAAATAAATAGAACCATTAAATTAATATAGTTATTAGCAAAAACTAAATAAAACTATATATCATTTTAATCAGTAAAATAAATATCATTTAAATCTGTAGCATTAATATATACTCATTTTTGTCACTAAAATTAATATAGTTACCAACAAAAGTAAATAAAATTAAAATATTATTTTTTGAATCAGTAAAATAAACATCATTTAAATTTATAGCATCAATATATACTTCTTTTGTTTGTAATATAACAATAATAAACAATTTCACTTTATATCTTTTGAAATACACATAAAATAAATAAATAGAACCACTAAGTTAATATAGTTATTAGGAATAAGTAAATAAAACTAAATATAATTTTCTAAATCAGTAAAATAAATATTATTTAAATCTGTAGCATTAATATATACTCCTTTTTGTAATATAGTGAATATATTGGACAATAAATTGCTCTAAAAAACTTAAATAATAGTTAATAGAAACAAGATTACAAAATAATAATTTTTAAAATAAAATTTAAAACATTTACAAATTATAAAAATCTAAAACATTCACCCTTTAGAAACATACAGATTAAACATCATAATACGTTAGATTTATGGCAACCAACAAGACAACATAAATTATAGGAAGCTTTTCAAAGCATCTATCTATATGAAGATTTCGATCATCGTTAATATTTACATTGCAGAAAATGATAGACAAAAGAAGAATTTCATGCACTGATATTTATTCAATGTGTGTCTTAGTTGGCTTAAGGTAGTCAAGTTACTACAAGCGATACATGTCAACACATGAGTTAAACAGTTTATGAACAAAAATTAAGTTTTAGATGACAGTTAATTTTTATATATATCAAGTTAGTAAATTTTTAAATTAAATAATAATGCATTTTTGAAAAATAACATACATATTTTTATGTAGAAGAAAATGTCTAAAAAATCTCTAATTATCCACATCAACAAAATTCCTTATAAACCCAACTTGAATGAAAAACTAATATGGTTTTTTTTTACTGGGTTAAGAGACTCCTTTAAAAATAATATAATATATATTATTAGTTTAATTATAAAAGCTCATCAAAATTATATGTGTAGTTTAAGAAAAAATGTTTAAGTTAAATTACAAGCAAAATTTTTTACATCTTTTGAGTTTTGAGAAACTCAACATACTTTATTTAACATAATGAGTTAGTATGAAATTGTATTTGTATATGTATTACTTGCCTTATTCATCTATATTTTTTATAGTTTACGTATACTTCATAAACCAAATCAAAATTGCATTTTATCAATATGATTGTGATTTTTTATACTATGTAAATATTGTATTTATTTATATAAATCATAGTTATTTTATAGATTTATAAGAGATTAGAACATTGAGTGTTGTTTGTATTTGAGATTGCTAATTAAATAAAAACACTATACGAACACAGTTGAAATAAAAATAAAAATCTAAATTAATTGAAACAATAATAATCAAATTTAATCAAAACAAAAATAATTTTAATTATATTTTGAAAGTTAGTAGTGAATAACAGTGAGTTTATATACAAATATTAAGTTTTAGATTAACAGTTAATTTTAGCATATATCAAGTAGGTAATTCTTAAAATTATATCATGATACATTTTTTGAATACGTTAAAATATTTTTGATGTATAATTATATCAAAACAATTTTAAAAATTAAATATTATATTTAAAATATTAATTTAAAGTAAAAATAATTTAACTTAAATAATAATCAAATATTTATATAAAAACAATCTGCGCGTAGCGCGGAAACATCCCTAGTTTGATATAGCAACTATTATTACGTTGAGTAAAGAACCCTAGTTCTAATATTCTTTCACTCAATATTAAATTAGCCAACGAAATTAAGTAGATTTTAAACAGTAAGTTGTTCCAAAAAAAAAACAAAAAACTGTAATTGATGTTATACCAATTTATCGTACTTTGAATCAAGTCCGTGACAACAAATTGTTTGATCCAAATCTATGGAACAGGCATCTGTAAATACATAACAACATATAATATGAGATAAGTTAGTTTATGATTACATAAAGACAGAACTTTATATCCACTCGTATATATACTTGTTTAAGGTATAGTTTTATACTTTTATGGCTCTCCAAGTAATAGACAAATGGTACCCCAATCAGTGGTGGTGGTGGAGTGTTATCAGAACCACAACTTTTGATATATTTTAGTAGTTATTATGTCATTCAAATTTTCTATTTTTATGGTAGATAATGGAGTTTTATGTTTACTTTAACTTAGCCTCGCCGCCCCATCACCTAAATGTCATTTTCATTTCGACCGACCCCAAATATATAATACGATACCTCTCTTCTTTTTTGTCTTATATATAATACCATAACCTCTGATTTTCCACATTTTTAAAGCCGCTATATAATTTACATACTATTTTATCGATTCATCATTTTCATCCTTGCAAAACTCATAACAAACCTCGATTACAAACTGTAATACGATTTTATGCTTACGAGACTTAATGATGATGAGAAAATGAAAATACAATAGACATTATGAACGGATAATAAAACCTGATGTAACAAGTATGAGCAAAAACTTTGGATTAGGATGCAAAAATAAGGTATCATGGAGCATGAACTAACCCTTAATGCCTCAACAATTACATAATTATTCGTACTTGTCACTAAGACCAGAGTGTAAAGGACGAACGCACCAAAAGAAAAGGGTGTAAAGGACGATGCCGTTTTGGAGGGGTCCAGATTCCACTGAGGTCAAAACCATGTGAGTTTGGTTAAAAGCAGACACGTGGAAGGTGGCACGCCTGAAACCGACCCGTCGCTCCGACAAATGTATCATCGCCGTCCATTCGGATGAAATCCAACTCAGCATGGCCGTCGGTTTGTTCAACCACTCTTATAATGCCACGTTAAGCCGACCCCACCAATCATTTACACTCTCTCTGCATCCACATTCTTCCAATCTCTTTGCGAAAATTGAATATTGCTGACAAATAGACTGAGAACGAAAACTGAACAGAAAAATAAATTAAAGTGACGCAAATGCAAAAACAGAAGATGGAGTTGTTCCATGGTTAATGTTATGCCACGTGGCAATATCCTTATCGACTTAGCTACGTTGGTCGGCTATTATTTGACGAATATTCCACATCAGCTGTATTTTCGTTTTTCTAAGATAAACAAAATGTGAATTCTCAAAGTGTGAATATATATAATTACTTAAGAAAAAAAATAAGTTTGAGTGGCTACAAAAAATGACATGTTTGAAGAAGACATCTTTTTATATGATAAAATCATCTTGAAACTAATTTTGCATTACTTAACAAATATAATAGTTTACCCAATAAAAAATAACAATCAACCAATGTGATTAGTGTAACTAGATTTGTTTAGAGAATTTTTTAGATAAGCTCAATGCTACTTTTCTTATAATAGAAAGTGTAATTTAAAAATATAAGATAAGGATGTTTTACCAAAAAGTTGTCTTTTAGTCACTCAATCGATACTAGTCCAGAATGTATTACACAAACTATATGTATAACAAGAATAACAAACAGATGTCGATTTATCTGTCTTATTGAGTATGTAGTTGCATGATTTAGATTAAATTTGCTACCGTGTTAAAAGTTCAAACTGCGACGGCAATTAAAGTTGATTTCCTGCTTCTCTTGACATCTACAACTTTACCTACGTTATATTTTATATCTACCGAATCATATATTAGATCTTTGAAATGCTGACGTTTTTTACTATAAAATTATTGTTTAGTAGCTAGTGTACATTATTACTATATCGTTTGCTTATATAATTTCTCAACGTTTAGTATTTGTTTTTGATTGGTTCTCAAAGGTCAAATTTTGCGGCCTGTCAAGTGAATGTGCCTTTTGTGGGTACATTGATCTCTCATCTCTCCACCTACAATGTTTTTGGTTTGAGTTACGTATTAGGAGGTGAATAAAAAGGTCACATCTTGTCCTATTTTGTCTTTATCTCGTCTTTAAATTTTCAACCTTTTAGAGCAACGCATTTTAATTAGAATAGACATCATAGAGCATGAATTTGTTTTTTTTCTTTTTTTTCTTAAAACACTCCATATATTATATAAGATTGGTTGAAACTTGAAACTTTCTCATCTTTTAGAAAAAAACTACTCCAACCCTTATTTTGTTTATATGGTAAACAACCAACTTTGTACTCGTTTATCATCTTTGGCTAAAACAATCGGCACATACATTATTAGAATGAAAAAGAGACCTATTACTAACTTCTACAATGTTTTTGGTTTGAGTTACGTATTAGGCAGGAGGTGGATGAAAAAGTCACGTCTTGTTCTGTTTTGTCTTTTATCTCGTTTCTGAATTTTCATTCTTTTAGAGGAACGCATTTTTATTAGAATAGGATATCATCATCATCATAGAGCATGAATTTGTTGTTGTTCCAAAAAAAAAGAGCATGAATTTGTTTTTTTTTTTTCTTTTTTGCTTCAAACACTCCATATATCAAAAGATTGGTTGAAATAGCCTCTTACCTTTTTAGGAAAAATCACTTGTTTATATGGAAAGCAACGAACTTCGTACTCGTTTTATCTTTTGGCTAAAACCATCGGCATATACATTATTAGAACGTAGAATTAAATAATAGTAAAATCAAAAAAGTGACGATCGCACACTTGTTATCTTATTCATTATTTCATTTATTCTAACTTTGGAGTCGAAGAGTAAGTTGTTTTTGAGTTTGCATGTGTGGAAAGCACATACTGAAAATATTTTTTAATAGAGTTTGTATTCAATGGACACATTACAACTCGCCCTCCACGCCAGATCTCGAGATCATGTCTCTTACTATTCCTCCAAAATCGCATGACATATAAAAGGCTTGTGGCACTCAAATGAACTTTGGAGTCCTGTCTGTTGGATTTTAATGGAAGAACATGTCTCACGGTTTATTGCCCTAAAAGGTTTCTCTCTCGTAGATGTTTATCATCTTTACAAGTCGAGCTGGAAAGTGGAATCCCTAAGTCTGAGAGTGAACAAAGTATGTTACAAAGACATTGCTTCAAGCAACTAATCACTTCACGAGCTCGAACATCTCTTGTAAGAATAACAAATGAGAAAACAACAAAATGGTAACATTTTGCAAGTTAAATTCTTTGGTGATCTTCTAGGAATCCGTTGTTTTACTATATAGCGTAGATAATGATGATTTTCAGGTTTTACGATTTGTATTAATAACCCTAAATCTGATTCTTGGAGTCGAAATGCTTCAAGATTGAATGTGGCTTCGTGAGAGCAGGATTATACATTATGCTAAAGCCTTAACTAAATCACAGTAAGGCAACATCAACCCTATTGATATTCAAGATTGTGAATCAAGAGTTGTAACTCCTAAGATATACAAATCCACAATCAAACTGAAAAATATGAGACCAATTGCTGCATTGAACAATAACACTACGCTTGTGAAGCGAACACGAACCAGTCTTGAAAAATGAATTGAAGAGCGTAAAGTTCCAATTTTTTTTTTAAATCAATAAGCAAAATACCATAATCACGAAAACAAGCACAATCCAAACAAATCAACTTTTAGAAAAGCAATAGCATTGAACATCAATGCAATTTCAGATTCTGATCATCAAACAACGAGATATTCCAGACATTTAAGCCAAATGAATGTAAAGCATTTGAGCTAAAAACCAGACATTTGAATTGCGAAATGATGATAAACCATTGGGTTCTTAAACAGAGAAGAAAAACGCAACAATAATCCAAAACTGAGTCATTCTAATTGAAACATCATAACAGCTAAAGATCTCAATCCAAAAAGCCAAAAACAAAAAAAAAAAAGGATGAAAGAAAGAAAGACAACATCATTTCAATTCCCATCAAATCTTTTTTTGTTTTCTTTAGTTCTCAGGAATAACGATCTCACCCTCTTGAATCTCCTGCTGAAGATCCTTGGGGTCCTTTCCATCAACGGTGCATCCAACGGAGACGCACGTCCCTAGAATCTCCCTCACGGTCCCGCTCAGCTCTTTGGCGATGGATCTAGGCCTCATTATCCTTGCAATCTCAGTCACATCATCAAATGAAATGTTTCCATTGTGCTTGATGTTCTTCACCTTCTTCCGGTCTCTCTCCGGCTCCTTCAACGCCTTGATGACCAGAGCTGCGGCAGATGGAACCACCGTCACCTTAGCCTGACGGTTCTGAACCGTCAGCTTCACGGTAACGCGGAGACCTTTCCACTCCTTGGCTGTCTCTTTCGCGATGTCTTCTCCGATCTTCTTAGGGGCGAGACCGAGAGGACCGATCTTCGGAGCCAGGGAACTGGCGGCTCCGACTTCTCCTCCGGTGACACGGACGTACACATCGACGATCTGGCTCGGGTCCAACTTCGGCGGCATGGCTGCAAAATTTTGGGGGTTTTGCTCTTCTCTCGGTAGGTGGAGGCGCCGCTTAGGGTTTTTTTGAAGGAGAGGAATCAAATGGTCGAAACTAGGGTTTATATTTGTCTATCTATATTATGAATTCACCCTGCTCACTGAAACGGCCCAATCAAATTATATATGGGCTTTGAAATTTCACTTAAATAGAACTTTAAATCAGATTGGCTTGGCCCAAAATTTGCTTTTTTGAGAGTTTCTTCTCTCAAATCCAAAACCAATTTGGAGTCATAACTAGCAAAGGGCTTAAGTGATGGGCACAAACAATCTTGTGAACACCTGTATTAACACTTTTAACTGGCAAAATGTCTAAATTCTAAATCATTTTTTGTTCAAATGGTTATTTCGAAGAAATTAGGCTGTGGCAATGATGATGATATCATTCTTTGTGTCCCTTGAATTTCACTATGAGCATTTTAAATGACGAAATTTTTATAACTTGTGAAATCTTTTTGGTCACTCTTGTGGTTCAAATCGTTATTTGGAAGAAATTAGGCAGTGGCACTGATACCAATACTTTTATATGTCACTGATGCCAATACCATTCTTTGTTTCCCGTGAGTTTTGACTTAAAGGTAATTTGAAGTCGCTACTGAAATTGAAAACTCATGGACAGATGAATCTCTGCATTTTCGGAGGCATCATAGCGAGAAGGAGGAGTTGAAGAAGTAAGCAAGCTTTAGTTTTTGTTCCCCAAGGTTTGTTTCATCCCTGAATCTCGACGACGGAGCCCAGGCTTTCTAGGGTTTTACGGGTCTGCGATTACCCTTGTTCCGGTACTTCTTTCTCGTCTAATTCGCCTCTTAGATCTACCATTTTCTCAATTTCGTAAGAGTGTTTTGCCAAGTGATTTGAACAAGTTACTTTTTTTCCAGTTTCCGTTGAAATGCCGGCGAAGATATCTCCCGTCGTGTCGCCGCAACCCGCAACATCTGTTCTCCGTCGATCGGCGAGGCTTGTCTCTCTTCAAAATCGAGATGGGCAAAGGAAAGATCTGGTCTTTGGCTCGGAACCACCGAGGAAAATCCGTCGGGAACTCGGAGGACAAGTACCATCAAAGAGATTGGTATTCTCATCTGGTGGGTCAGGATCGAACAATTCGATCGATGGGTTTCCTTCGCTGAGGCGGTCTCTTAGGGTTTTAAACAGAGGACTTTTCAATGGCAGCAAAGACAAGTCTCCACGATCTAGTTCTACGAAGCCTGCAGCTACCCCATCGTCTCGCTTGAATTCGACCAATGTTTCGCCGCCTTTTACTCTCAGACGATCTCCAAGATTTTCGAGTGGAGGAGCTTCTGTGGATCTTCAATCTTCCTCCAGTGGGAGAAAATCAGGTAACAGCGTTTTGAGTAGATGTAGCACGAAATCAGCTTCATCTGAGAGAGAAAATGGTAGAGATAGTGTCAAAGCTAGGGACAGAAGTAGAACTCGTACTCGTCCAAAGATTAAGCCGATGTTTAGAGGTAGTGACGATGATGAAGAAAAAGAAGAAGAAGTTAGTGTCTGCCTTAGTGAGGGGAAAAAGATGAGAATTGCAAAGGATAACGAGGAAGAAAACGATGTGCTGAAAGCTGATGAAGAGAAGAGAAAAGAAAAGGAAGAAGAAAAAGAAGAAGAAGAAGAAGGATTGAAGACAAAGAACAAGCTCGAGAAAGGATGGACAGAGGAGCTGGAGTTAGCTCTGCAGGGAGCTTATTTGACAGTGAAGCCGAGTCCTAATTTCTGGAAAAAGGTTTCTAAGATGGTACCTGGAAAATCTGCGCAAGAATGTTTTGATAGAGTGAACTCAGATCTTATCACTCCTCGTCAAGCTCAGCCTCGTTCAAGAGCCAGGAAGACGAACTTATCAACAATCCCGCAGTTTTCGCTCTCTGCAAGCAAACTACTGAAACCCAATTCACCAAAGACTAAGATACGACATCGCAGAGGCAATCTCTCAAAGAAAGCCATCAGGCATTTGCTGGAGAAGCAGAACCATATGGATCAAGGTCTTGGATTTGATCTCTTCTCGGTTCTTGAGCCTGGCGCCACAAGCAACTGTCTCTCAACTCCAACGGAGAAAGGGCAAAGTCTTCCGAGAATCCTTGAAAGTCCAATGCCTGGTTCAAATAAAGATCAAAGAATGCTAGTTAGCCCTCCAGTGCTGAAACAGGTGAAAAACAAGGCGTTGCATGAGAAGTACATTGATCATCTGCATATTAGGGAAGCTAAAAGAAAAGCAGAGTCTACTCGACTGGGGAAAGAGAACCTAAGACCTATTGCTAATCAGAAGAAAGATGCGATGAGAGCAGCTAAAGATTCTCTGTTCTTTGATGTACAAGATGCAATCCAAAAGCTTAAGAGTTTGGAGACTGAGAACTCATCCGGTTCTTCAGAGTTCTGCTATGATCGTGGTGAAACTGACGAAGAAGATGAATCAATCTAATCTCTAGGCAGATAGATTTGGTTTTGTTAACAGAGCATAGAGATTAGCGTAAGTCATTACTGTGAGTCTTAGTTTTTTTAACCATGAGAATGAAATTGTACTTGTGAGTTTAGTTTCAAGTTTAGTCAGATGTTGTATAGACAACGAAAATTGTTTCAATTTTAATAATATGAAGATCAAAGTTTGGCTCTTTTCATTTTTGCATATACATAAATGATACTAAGAGATAAAAAAGACAAACGCATTTAACTTCCTTGGTTAAGTTACAGAGGAAAGTGATTCTTAGAAACATAAACATTTCAGAGCTAAAGAAAAGTAGTAATTTACACAAAATAATTTCCTCCCTCAGTGGAAATTTATAGTTTACTCTCCTAATCAAAAGTTAAGATCTTAAGAATCTGTTTCCTTCCTTAAGTAAGATCTAATCTTGAAATCTCCTGACATTCAATAGTTATATGTTTAAATAGATCTTGTTTAGTATCAGTCTTCAGAAGAGTAGCCAATCCGCTCGATCTCCCAGCAAAGCTTAGACGCAACACTTTCATGGCAAGGCGAATATTCCTGCAAACACACAACAACGGTTTTCATGTTTTCAATTTGGAAAAAGAGAAAAATCAGAAACTAGTTTCGTTCTTTTGGATCCATCAAATTGCCAATGGTCAAGTTACCTCTAGCTTCTTCACTAGCTCCTTAGCGGTAGGTGCAGAAATGATTATCTGGCGTGCGTTTGGACTGATGAATCCTTCTTCAACAGCTTTATCAATGAAAGAGAGCAAAGAGTTGTAGTATCCATCAACATTGAGCAAACCCACCTGCACCAAACACAATGATAATTAGCTTTTAATGAATTTGGGTTCACCAAAGCTTGAATCTTTACATAGTGATGGGTCTTTACCGGTTTGTCATGAATACCAAGTTGAGCCCATGTTATGACCTCCAACAGTTCTTCAAGCGTTCCATATCCACCTGCAATTTGAAAGCAGAAAATATTATAATCTGTATATATATTATTATTGTTATTATATGGTCAATTCACAAAGTTGTGCTACATCTGCAGAAACTGTCCTATGAGTCGATTTACATATGGGCATGATTACAAAAGCAGGGTCTTATTGAAGAACAAGACCTCCCTATATGGCCTAAACATGCTTTTTTTCTACGACTGTTTCAGGTTTTGTCTTTTTACATGAAACAGGTAATAAAAGTCAAAACTTTGGTTACAGTACACAAGCTATCTAGATAAGTACCTCCCAAGTAAAAGGCAAATAACAAAGAAACAGAGCAAAGAGAAGAGAGATTGGTCTAAATTTCAGTGCGAGATATCGATGAGTCAAAGGCATCTTTACTTACCATTTTTAAAGTTTTATTCATTTAAAAAACTCAAAATCATAACGAACCAGACCAATCTACTTTTAAATTTTAAAAAATAGCTTTCACACTATACACTACACAGCTTTAGTTTGACCAAGAAAACATGTTTTTTTTTACCAACACTTTCTTCTTCCCTCTTCTTTTCGGTGCTCTTTTTTTAAATCAAAACTATTATTCTTTCACACTTTAGTTTTCCGCAACTTAAGAAGTTAAAAATCCTAAAAAGATGCTGATTAGATTCTTAAACAAGAGACTGTCACTAGACTTTGACAAGTTTTATCTTACATAATCATTACTACTTGTTTTGAGAACTGAACTTGTAAGAGATATTTTACAGAGAGAAAACAAAACTGAAAACTGATGGGACTATGAACAATTTCAAAATTAAAGAAGGATTTTATAAAAATTTAATACCAACCTGGTAAGGCAATAAAAGCATCAGAGTGTCTAGCCATCTCTGCTTTTCTTTGATGCATATCTGCAACTGCTCTTACTTCTCCTACTGTTTCACCGGTCAACTGCCAAAAAAAGAGGTATCCCATTTAGTAACTAATAATCTTGAAACTTTAAAATAAAATTAAAAAGAAGAAAGAAAAGCAACTTTAGACTGTTCTATGACCAGAAGCAATGATGACTATGTAAGCAAATTGGCTTATTTTAAATTTCCTCACAAGTCTTGGTCATTAAGCTCTTCATCTTTACTTTTTTTTTTCTATTTAATGAAACCTTTTCCTTTTTGGTTTCAATAAAAGTGATGAACAAGAGAGAATACCGATTAACATGAAAAAAAGGAGATGAGTAGTAAGATCAAAAGGGTTTTATTTAGGGATTTCAAAGAAAATAAAACAGTTTACAAAGAGAAATCATTCAGAAAGTTCACAACTTTTTTCAGGGATTATAGCAACAATACCTCTCTAGGCATGAGTGTCTTGGGAATAACTCTGGTAAAATGACAACAAGAATGAGAAAATGAGACTTATTAGTATGTTTTAATCTTAACTGTATCCTCAAATCTTTGATTAAGTGATCGGATGAAGAGTTTACCCAATAACATGACGACCACCATCATGAACAGCTTGTGAAATCAAACCCATCAAACCTATACTGCCACCTCCATAGACTAGATCAATGTTCCTTGAAACCTGCAAAAGCAAACAATACAGAGGAAAACAAACTTTTTTTCTTATCACATGTAGGAGAAATGAGCTAAGAAGAGAAATCAAACCAAACTCTATTTCTAGAGTATCAAATATGGAGACAAACATTCACTGTGGGCTCCCAATCATAAAAGATGAAGGAAAAATGAAAAAAACTTTAAAATCTAGTTTCTTTTTAGTTACCAAAGGAGCACAAATTCACATATCAACTATACTTTTTAAAAGGTTTCATCACATAAGAGAGTGCTTTCTAGCGTAGAAAACAGAGGAAGTGCTCTGCATTTTGAAAAAATAAGAGGACTAAAAACACCCCACAAACATATTCACAAACATCTGGTGAACATAAACTATAGAAACTACAGAAAAGAAAAAAAACAAAGCAGATATGTATGTAATACCAGTTCGTTGCCTAGATCCACAGCAGCATCTTGGTAACTACTCTTCTTGCCTTGACTGCTTCCACAGAACACACAGATTCTTCCAAACTTTGACTTTTGCATTGTTTGAGTGTTGACCTCCATTGATTACGATGAGCTCAAGCTACGAAAAATCTCAACTTTTTTTGCACCAAAGTAAACCGAAAAACTGAAGTTTTTTGCGGGTGGTGGTTATTTGTTAATTAGAATCTCTCACTTGGGTGCTTCCTAAATACCATAAACGAGATGTACACACCGTACAAGTGTCAAAGAAGTAACATTATATAAATAATGTTCAAACCCAAAAAAACTAAGACTTTGGATTTTTTGGTGTTTCTTTGCCCACTATTAATGCTTTCGGGTTGGGGATTCTTGCTATTATATATACAGAGTGCGTTTTCTCGTCATGCTTATTAATCGGTTAATAATCTATTTGATTTTATAATCTTGGAAAAGATTCAATTTTTTTTTAAGAGTTTTTTTTCAAAATTTTGGGATTTTCACACGTGAGAGAATTAAGCACGCGCGTCGCAACCACCCGCACATACAGTTCATGTTGGCACGCGTGGACCACTTGCTGGTGTTTCCTAGTAATTGTAAACTTTCTTCAATTTTTTATTTTTATTTTTCCGGATTTCATTAGCTCCGAAATTTCCCTTTAACGATTATATTTGATATATTCGTTATCTACTCCAATGATTTTGGAATAGAAACACAAAAACCAAAATGGTATAGAAACTTGAAAGCTGTGTTTATAAAAATGTCCTTACGAATACGACTTAAAACCATAAAACATCATGATTAATACTCATGATTAATATAACTTAGTGGAATGCTTATGTCTCTTTATTTTAGTCCAAAGATTTTCCTTAATTAATCCGTGAATAGAAAACTAAATTGTTTTTTTTTTTTGTTTTGTTGCTATGAACAACATGAATGAAGTAAATACGAACTTAAATGATGTTAGTTAGAAAAGCACGACGAATGACATGGATTATTGTGGAGAGATCCTTTTTAACACAAACGGTAGTTGTTTAGAACAATCGAGATAAATCATACGACAAAACTTTGTCAACAAAAAAAATCATACGACAAATCTACATGCATACAAAATAAAAACTTGTATAACATCATAAGTAAAATATAAGGTTGTTATTTGAAATTCAAAATTTATTATATTAGTTGAGATTATTGAAAAATTTCACTTGAGTTTTTTTTCTTAAAAACTCAGTCTCAACCATCCATGAAAACAGAACTCGATTGTAATCTATTATCAGTTTTTGACAACCATATAAATATTTCAACCACATACTTGAAAGGGAAATATTCCTTGCATTCTTTTTTATATTTATTCATAATGATATTTAAGTTTGTCGTGCGGAAAATAATGGGAAGTGACAAAGAAAACATCTTTAGATTAAAGAAACTGATTTAGATATAAAGCTACCTCACTTTTTGATTCCTTTTTTCAAGAACAGAACAAAAATGTAGTTTTCGCCAATGAAAATAAACATCAAATTTCCATTGTCTACATATATCTGAACATGTAAGATGGGTCCAAACATAATTTACTTTAACTCTCTAATAGTATAAAAATAAAAGTGTAAGACCAAAACTAGCGATGAGTAAAGTAAGAGGTACATACACATACATGTAACATATGCATACACACATATCATATAAATGTATAATTAGAGATGATGATGTCTGGATTATGGAGCAATGCGCCATTGATGATTGAAATGAGAAACACAACGTGAGTTATATATGATTTTTATTATCAATGTAGTCTTGTTCACCCTCCCTATGTAGACAATTAACCTCCTAATTAAGCATACCATTATACCAAATATTTCTTTATTTACACCTTCCCTACTATTTCTTCTTCTTATAAATGTTAGGTCTATAATGTTTTTGTAAATTTTAAAAGCTCTCTCAGTTTTACCCATATCCCCGTGCATGTGGAGAATGGATAATTGGATATAGGCATAGCCATTTATATTTTATTTTATTTAAATTGTATCCACATATAGCTACGATATTCGACTCACCATGCTCGATCATGTATGTATAAATAATTAATAATCCAAAACAATTAATGATAGATATTAGGCATTATTCTATAAGGATCCAATGTCAAAAATTGCGAATTAATCCCCTATGAAACGATCGACATCGTTTTTTTATAAATATATATATATATTTTTGGTTTATCGTTTAGAAATATTTTAAAAGAAAATGGGTTACAAGCTCTCTTTTTTATGGGTTAACGTTACAAACTTACAAATAGAGTCAGTAATTTTTTGCTTAACCACAAATAGAGACAGTGTTGAGTAGATATTTTGATCGGTGGAGCCTGGTTCAACATGGTAAATGACGCATAGTAACATAATAACATTTATGATTTATATACATATATCATTTAATACAATTTCGTGCACTCTCTTTGTGAGATGGACACTCTACAACACATAAATACTGTATCACATTGAGAAGATTTGAACAGTATACCGAAGATTTTGATTATGAAATGGTACGCTCCCCATGTTATTAGGTTGTTAAATTATCTTAATCTATATATAGTATGGAGTATATAGCTGTTATATATTCTGTATGCTACTAAATTGTTTTCTTCCGTGGACAGTAACCTGTAACCCCATACATAGTTGGGTATATATAAGCGTGTGATAACTAATTAAATTAAACTATAAGAGAAATTGCAATCCCAAGAACTCAGTGCAAGCTGCCCTATTGCATTTGTATGTTGCGGGTTTAGAGATTATAAACAAATAATTACTTCTTGAAACCAATGTGTATTTGTATCTGCATGCTTGCATGCGCATTTAACTCTTTTGTTTTGTTTTCTTATTGCACTCCACATTCCTCTTGGGTTTCTCACTTTCAAACCTAGTTTATAATAATCAACCATGATGATAGTGTAAAACGACATAATTATTAATTAGTTCACTCTCGATGTATTCAATATATCTTTGTTATGGTGGATACATACCCGGCTCAGGAAACAGATGCACTAGGCAATATAGCTTAGGATCAGGATCACCAACTTTTTAAGGGTTTCCAAGCATTTCTAAGATCACTAAATTTGTTTTGTAAGAGTAATAGTTTTCTTTAGGATTACCATTTTTCTTTGTATACTAAGAACTGTTGTTTACAGAAAAAAGTATACAATTTCACATACATTTTAAACTAAAATATTGCTTAAAATTTTAAATATTACCAAAAACAATTTCTTGATTTACTTCACTATTCCTGACTATTAGACCGATTTTGGGTGAATCATACCAACAGTGAAATAAACAAAAGTAAACTCATTTGCGTTTGGTTTTCATTGTATAGCAAAACTTCTCTTTAGATACATTAGAATTTTATAACTCTGTTACTTTACTTCACGATAAGTTGAATGAACCGAACTAAATTTAGGTTTGTTAACAATATAACATGGTAAGCTATTATACGAATATATAAGAGGGATAAGAGAGGAATAAGAGTGGGAACAAGTCCAAATATCATTATACAAGAAAAGTAAACGGGTTGATTAATGCATGAATAAATTTGTTGGCAACAAAAAGTTTGATTAATTTAAAATGCAAACAGTGCTGTCGTAATATAAATACAAGCATATGATTAAGAAGCGAATATATTTAAGTTATGGCTGTGTGTAGATAAAGTGTGTGCCCGCCGAATACAGATGAAGCAGGCGAGCAGTGAAAAGGCTCCTCGCTTTCTATTTCTATCAGTCAAAAGTTTAACTTTAACTCTTTTTAATTTATTTTGTTGTTGGTTAAGTACTGCAAGTTGATTTCCCTTTAACCAAAAAAAAATAGTAAGTTGATTTCCTAGAAACTAGTATACTCCTTCCGTTTAAAAAAAAATGTCGTTTTAAAGTTTTATTTTTGTTTCACAAAGAGTATTATTTTGTATTTCTAATATAAATTTTTAAACAAAAATCATGTTTGAAACTTATTATATTAATGTATTAATTAAAAAGAAAATGTTATTTTATGTGTAAACAAAAGGTAAAACAGAATTTTTAATGATTTTTTTTAATTTATATAATAAGTATCATTTTGATACTTATTTTAAAACAAAGAAAATATTACTATTTTTTAATTGTTATGTTAATGAAAGGGCCAAATGACGACTATATCCACTGCAGTTGTACTAACAAGGGCCCCCATTTGCATTTACGACCACCCAAAATTTTCCATAAGAATACGTACACCTGTGTCATTATTGTATATTAATTAATTAGATGATTAATTCGTACAAATTTTACAAAAGTAATTCGTACCATGTCTGTATGGTGGGCTTGGAAATGGCTTTGCGGGAATGTCTTTGGTTCAATAGGAAGATGTCGAGACAGAGGACACTTCCTGAGGGGTCGAGCAACTGAAGTCTCTTTAGCTCACGCAGGGCTAAGAGGGAATGACATGAATGCTCCGAGAGAGCAATTTGAGATAGCATGGTTTCCACCACCAAGCGAATGGATCAAACTAAACACGGATGGTGCGGTTCATGGTAATACGGACTTTGCAACAGCTGGAGGAGCGCTACGAGATGAGAGGGGTGATTGGTGCGGGGGCTTCGTACTAAATATAGGTATTTGCTCAGTACTTTTAGCTGAACTGTAGGGAGTATACTATGGGCTATACACAGCTTAGGAACATCGCATAACCCGCTTGAAACTCGAGGTGGATTCGGAAATGGTTGTTGGCTTTCTGACTACAGGGATAAGTGATCAACACCCCTTGTCTTTCCTAATACATCTGTGCTATGGCTTTCTCTCAAGGAACTGGATAGTTCGGATTAAACATGTCTATAGGGAGTCAAATTGTCTAGTAGATAGATAGTTTGGCAAACTATGCTTTTTCTCTACCTTTAGGTTTTGTTTATTTATGATTACCACCAGATAGTGTTATTGATGTTGTTTTAGCGGATGTTGCTAGAAACACAAGAACACGTTCTGTTTGAGTGTAGCTTTCTGTTGTTTGAATAATATTTGAGAGATTTTTGTCTCTCGTTTCCTACCAAAAAAAAAAAGTAATTCGTCACCTAACTTGAGATATATCCATCAAAGCGTTTACAAGTGTACCTATCTTTACATGTGATGAATGATTCCTTTAAAACCGAAACTAAAATTGATCAGATAATTGATCTCATTATGAAAATATGCTACATGATGGATGTTGCTTGAACACGCAAGAGTATTTATCGCAAGAATACGATATAGATCATTTGTGATAACACCTTAAGCCATAGTGAGATTAAACTATTTTCTGTAAGTTTCTAATTGAAATGATCACGTCTCCGTTTTCAATAACTACAAAGTTGGTACAACATAAACCTCCACAAATGTTATTATTTACAACAACTCTACCCCACAACACTTAAGTTTGTATGTTATATTATTTGGTTGTTAAAATATATGTTGTGTGTGTTTTATAGAAGATCATTGTCGAGAGTAACATTCATTTAAAATAATTTTGTAATATATATAGATCATTTGTGTTATAGAGATCAAAATTGATGTTAGCCTTACCATTCCACATCTTTAATAAAATATATCACCTCTATAACATACGTGTTTTATGAAAACAAAGGAAATGAGCTAAGAAAAACAAAAAAAGAAGGAAGAAAAGGCCTAACTTGTAGGCAGGAAGAGTGGTGGAAGTATGATGGAGAAAGAGCAAAGTGACATTTATTATTTTTGTGTTCATCATTTTTGAGACATAATCTTCCATTAATTCACTTCAATGTTCCTTCTCTGCTTTCGGTCATTGCTATGTCCCATTTGTTCTCAACTTTTCGTTCAAAAAACTTCAAACAATTTTTCTTTTTTGTAAACTCATGACGTCGAAAATACCTTCGTCACGTGACATCCGCACAATTTTATGCATTGGTATTAGGATAAGGCCCATTAGAGTGATTGATCCTTCAGAGTTGATAAGCTTTTTCGGCCCGTTTAAACCCAGCGGCCATTGCAAAGCCGGCTCGTAATACTAATTGTGTATTATACTCATAATATTACTAATGAATGATATATTTCTTATGCTACCAAGTTGCAGTTATTGGTCTACAGAGCTTGTGGTGTATTGCACTGTAGATGAGAAACTGTAGCACTTTTGATTAATATTTTTTTGATACTGTACATAAACTTTCAAATATCTTTCGGCCATGTGACTTGGTTGAAAATTTGAAATGAAACTGAAGCAATCAATTCGCAGGAATTGAATAAAATGAACACACAAGGAATAATAAACAGAGATCTCGTCCTTCATAAACCAATCTCAAAAAGACTGATGAAACAGTGAAGCTAAAGCAATGCTTAAATAGAAAACTAGGAAAACCCCTAAAAGTCTCTCTATCGATTAGGAAAAGGGAAAAGCCCAACTTAAAAAAATTTCAAATTACATAATAAAACTCAAAACTAAAAAGCCCAACACAACGAAGTCGTGCTTGCCGCTGCTGTTGCCACGATGCCGCTGCACCAATAACATAACCCTCCAAAATCTGCATTTTTTTGCATGGTCGCTCAAAACTGGCGCCTTGGTGGCCTAGCCTCAGCCTCCGATACTCTAATCTGTCTTCCATCCAAATCCTGTAGAGAAGCAAAACAATAAAAATGGGTATCAGAGAGTTTGCTCCTACTATAATAAGTACTGATCCAAGAAATTACAATGCCAAGAGAAATGATGATACTTACTGCACCATTCAACGAAGTGATGGCTTTTGCGACCTCCTGAGGAGAGCCGAGTGTCACAAACCCAAAACCCTTGGATCGACCAGTGTCCCTGTCGTAGATAACCCTGGCCTCAACAACCTTTCCTTGCTCACTGAACAAGCTCTCAAGAGCCATGTCGTCCACACCCCATGAAAGGTTGCCCACGTACACACGGTCTGATGAACCCGAGCCCGAGCCTGACCCAGAACCATAGCTGGAACGCTCAGAACCGTAACTAGAACGTCCTGAACGTTCAGAACCGTAAACAGAACGTCCTGAACGCTCAGAACCGTAACCGGAACGCTCAGAACCGTAGCTGGAACGCTCAGAACCGTAACTGGAACGCTCAGAACCGTAACCACCACTTCTTGGTCCTCTGGAGAAGGATTCCTCCCTCTTAGGTGGAGGAGGGCCAGCGTTAACCCTCAAGGGTCTGCCTTCAAACTCCTGCAATGTTCATCTCAAGCGGATTAACAAAAAAACGCCACAATGTACAAAATCTAAAAGGTCAGCTCGCAAGATATGAACAACGAGCCGCCGGTACGACAAAAAGACAAAAGGTTCAACATTTATCCCAGCGAACAATCAAGAACGGCCTAAAAGTTTGACAGCTTCTCATTTTAGAAGAAGCAGATGGCATCTTATCAGTGGAATATAAAACAACATACACCATTAAGTCTCCACAAACCAAACAGAGGACACAGAGCATTTCACAACATCCAAGTAATGAAAAAAAAGAAAGATAGGATACGAATAACATTACACACAAGCCAACAACAAGAAACGACACAGGCAGTTAGATAAACAAGAAAGCCCTAAAACAAAACTTATATCAACAAGCAAAGAGAGACAGTAAAGAAGAGGAGTATCTGCTTACATAGCCATTGAACTGCTGAGCAGCTGCCTCAACTTCCGCAGCAGTGGACATTGTCACAAATCCGAAACCTCTGCTCCTACCAGTGACTTTGTCATAGATCACCTACAACACATCAAGCCAATTTCAGCACAAATGAATACATAAAAATATCATATTCTACTACATAGAACATAGATCACACAGCATTCTATTAAGAAACTCAAAATTTCATTTTGACGCTACACAAACAGTTTCAAACCCATTTCAAGAAATCAAGAGTAATTGTCATTTCCATCAGCAAAACCGTAAAAAGCACTAATTGAGGAAAGGGAACTAAGCAATACTGAATCAGGAAACCTAAATGTTCTTACCTCAACCATCTCAACATTTCCGGCGCTCTCGAAGAGCTGAGCGAGCTGAGCGCTGTCGACATTGAAGGAAAGGTTGCCCACGAAAAGCTTGAGGTCAGCGGAGAAGGAGCTGCGCTCCGGCGGCGAATCATCGTCAGCGAACATGTCGTCTTCCTCCACCTCGAAATCCGAGGATACGGCGACGTTCCTGACAAACCGGGACGGGTATTCGGCGGGAGAGGAGCATTTGACGGCGGAGGAAGCGAAGATGGAGACGAGATGGTGGGAGTGAAGCTTGAAGGAGAGGGAAGGAGGCAAGACGGAGGCGGACCTGGAAACGCAGAGAGGAAGGGATTTAGGGTTGAAGGAGGACAAGGAGATGGAGGAAGCGGAGGCAGACATGGCTTTAGCTTTTGAGATTTCTCGAGGCTAAAGCTCTCTCGCTGCTTTGGGAGGGGATAAGGTTTAAGGGTTCTGCGAGAGATTTGAGAGTGGAGATAAGGACTCGAGTTTTTGATACTTATTGGCAAAACTGAAACTTTTTTTTTTTTTTTTTTTTGTTGCTCTTCTCTTTTCGGCAAAAAATAATGTAAAAAAACAAAAAGCTTTATCCGCTTGAAAATATCTCCCACTTGGGTATTTTTTACTATTTTGTTTTTCTCTAAAATCTCAAATATCTTTAGTCACAATATTTGTTTTCTTCCTATTCTTTACAAATTTGTGCTAATCAAGACTGTAGAAATTAATGTAAAAACAAGAAGTAAAAAAACTCCCACATAATTTAAGTGAAGTTCTTGTTTAACACATAAGTACAAGTTGATACTAAATTTTGAAATTCTAATAACTTAAAAAAAAATACTGAAATTAATTTGTTCTTCTCTTGTAAATGAGTAGTCTTTTTTTAACAAAGTGAATGGTATGTGCGATAAGATCCTGACCGTTTAATTTGGATGGACAGTGGAGATGAAGAGAAGGAATAAAGAGAGTGGGTCTAGGGAGAAAAAGATAAGTCCATAAGTAAAAGCCAAAGCAAGATGCAACTAGAGACTGTACACACACATACACTGATGTTCCAGTATGGATCTTCAACTTGTCCTGGAACCTTAAGTATTTTACTTAACCCTCTCCTGAAAAACTAATCATTTTGAGGTTTATGTTAATAATGCTAACCATAGTTTTAATTAAAATTCAATTAGCCACTTCTGTTAAGGAAGCCAGATTTTTTGTAATCTCAAATTTTTAATTTTGGAAATGAAAAGCCCATGAGCCTACTAGAAAAGAAGTTAGTGGCTTAGCCCGGTTAGGGGTTAAACAAATGAAAAGCCCATGAGCCTACTAGAAAGAAGTTAGTGGCTTAGCCCGGTTAGGGGTTAAACAAATGAAAAGCCCATGAGCCTACTAGAAAAGAAGTTAGTGGCTTAGCCCGGTTAGGAGTTAAACCTGAAAATGTCCGGACCTGGTCGGATATTTCCCTAAACCCGTTAAGCCGTTTAATAACCATTCCGGTTTTCATTCATTAATGGGTCCCATTGACCGCCACGTATCGCTAACGAAGATGCAACAAGAGATTGAAAGGCTAAGGAAAAAAACATTGTCCGGCGGAGAATCGAAGAAGAACGGAACATCTCAAGATCCATTTTTTTTGTCCGTACCAAGAAACAAGAAAATCGGAAAATGGACATATCTGTGCGAATCTCCTGCTTAAAATCACCCAATCTCTGCCTGATAATCCCTAGCTTCTCATCTTCCTCTAGATTCCGCTGCTCCAAAAGAAATTCCGACGAATCTCCCAAAAACGGAAACGACAACGGTGAGAGATAATCAATCCTCGTAATAATCGGTTAATTCCGGTCTAATTTCTTGATGTGGGTCAGGTGATAAATCGTCGAGGGATTGGGACAAGGCGTGGAAGAATTTCAAGAAGCAAAGCAAGAAGACGTTATTCTCTCAGTTCAACGTCGACAAGTACGTGACGTGGAATCCTCCGAGATCGGAGTTTCCGTTGTCGGAGGAAGTCGATCCCATAAAGAGAACAGAGAGGTCGAATCTCATGCTCTGGACAAGTCCGAGGTTCACATTAGTTGGAGCCATCGTCATTGTCTCATTCCTCCTTCTCTACACCATTCTTGCTCCTGTCAAGTGAACAATATTTTATTCACTACAAAGGCCATTTTATTTTGTTAGTGGTAAAATCATTTAGATCAGATTCTGAATGTGTTTCTACTGTTTTTATTATAGCGTTTACCAAATAAGATCCTAATTTCAACGTGAAATATTACATAAGCAGCAACTAAACTTTGGAGTATAAAAGTTCTATTCACAAACGTTCTAAATCTTGGTAGACAACTGTTAAAATGCTATCTAAATGATAATGTTAAGATAATTGATTGGAAACTACATTTCAGTAGACACCTAGTTGTGGGACTCAACTTCTACTACATGTCTTGGGTTATTAAAATTGATTTGAAACTATTATTCTACTTTTTTTTTTTTAACGAAGGGAACATTTTTTCTACTTGGCAAATCATTCTAAGACAGGTTGAGGAATAGAAGTTATAGAACATGCATGAAGTTTTACATAAATCAAATTATTCTTTCAATAATTAGCCGAAACAATAGCATCTTCGATGTTTTTTATAAAGAAAAAATATGTATTCATCTAGGCCTCACCATACTGCCCGCCGCGATTTGGTGAAACCTTATAGATTTTTGTTTGTTTTCAGTCAACGTAAAATTCGATTTTAATACTGCTCACGATCTTCTGTGTTTAATGAATGCGTACAATTTACTAGATACTGATTCCTTTTTTTTTTTTTTTGAATTAGATAGAGAAATTAGATCATATGACTATATTTTGAAGTTAAATTAATCAAATAACTATAACAAATTAGGTACTATAATATTATTTGTATATTCTACAATATATACAAAAATATCCTTTTGTTTTTTTCCCTTATCCCTTTCTCCTCCGATCTTCTCTTCTCCTTTCATATTTTCCCCCTTCAATCATCTCTGTCACCTACGTTCATCTCATCTCCCTTCCTTTATTTTCCTTCCCTTTCCCTCTCCTCCCTTCCTCTCTCGTCTTCTTCCATTTCTTTCTCTTTACAAAAAAATATTTTTATAAATACTATATCAAATAGAATTATTCCATAAATTGATATATAGTATAATATATAATATAGTATAGTATATAATTATTTTCGACAATTAAATGTGGATCATGGTTAGTTTACTAATTTTCCAAACAGCATGACTATATTCTTCTATTGTTTTGCAAATATGGTTATAGAACAAAAAGACCCATACTGATTCCCTAGACAAAACAAATGCGTAATAAAAAAAATGTTGTACGAGTATGATGAGGATTATCTGAGAGAGGGCTGTCTCATGCTGATTCATAAACTACTGTATTACTTTGAATATGTCACCAACTGTTCTTTCAACATCTTAATATGTCAATGCTTTCATCCTCTTTTTTCTTTTCATTTTTTTTTTACTTCATGGTTTTTATATGCATATATATTTACATTTCTTACTGCATATGTTGCTAGAAAACTTTAAGCAAATAAAGAATCTTAAATTAATTATTTGGTGTTGTGATAACAATATGAATTTGTAAACAAACTGATATGCCCAAGAAAAAAAAATACTGATCGTAATACTAACGGTACGGTACGAAAGTGGTCTTAAGAATTTCCAAGTTCTTTTTTCTTCTTGTAGTATAATTGGCGGGTTTCATGCTACATCCGTTGGTTAGAATTCTCATCATAAACAAACATCTTACTTATTATATAAAACATATGTTTCAGATCAACATTGATAAATTTCGTATGTACATGGGATTTTGTCAAAAGGGAATCTAAATTATGAACGTTAATTATAACATAATTTAAGATTAAAAAAAAAGGCATGAAGACATGACCCAGAACTATTTCCGAGACATCAAGAATATAAAAACTGATAATCAAATCCTCCACGATCTTACAGCTTTCAACAACTTTGAGTACAACAGGTTTTCACTAATCGAATATTTATTTTAATAGTTTATAGCATGTGTTTTTATTATTAATTTATTACATGCAATGACCTTGAAAGACGCAGAAAATTTCAAGAACTCAAAACAAAAGCTGATGTATTCACTTACATCATTGAAATGTGTCAGATTGAACAACCCACAAATGCATACAAATATATACATATATAAGTCAAAGCATTAGGCTTATCTAGTTATCTCTCAATTAGACTCTGAATTTCTGATTTCAGAGTGCTCAAACTCATTAAGCCAAAGCCATGGCTAATATGGCTGGAGCAGACGAGATTGAGTCGTTGAGAGTAGAGCTTGCAGAGATTGGAAGAAGCATCAGATCATCGTTACGGAGACACACTTCGAGTTTCAGAAGCAGCTCTTCAAGATATGAAGCTGATCATGATGGTGACGTTAATGATAATAATGCAGAGTATGCTCTGCAATGGGCTGAGATCGAGAGATTACCAACTGTCAAGCGAATGAGATCTACTCTTCTCGATGACGGCGACGAGTCCATGACCGAGAAAGGAAAAAGAGTTGTTGATGTCACGAAGCTTGGAGCCATGGAACGTCATCTGATGATTGAGAAACTCATCCAACACATTGAGAATGATAATCTCAAGTTACTCAAGAAAATCAGGAGAAGAATAGACAGGTAAAACACTTTTTTTTTACCCCTTTGTTAAAAATTCGGTTACCAGAAAGTTTGAGCTTTGAAACTGTGTGTTGTGCAGAGTCGGGATGGAGTTACCGACCATAGAAGTGAGATACGAGAGTTTAAAAGTGGAGGCCGAGTGCGAGATTGTAGAAGGGAAGGCACTTCCAACACTGTGGAACACTGCTAAGAGAGTTTTCTCTGTGAGTTACTCAAAAATCACGAGTTGTTGTCCTGGTTCTGCGCTTCAATTCTAACCGTGATTCTTTTCTCCAGGAACTGGTGAAGCTCACTGGTGCAAAATCACGCGAAGCCAAGATAAACATTCTTAGTGATGTCAGTGGCATTATGAAGCCTGGAAGGTACGTATAGTTGTCTTCTCACTAGTCTTTAATCAAAGTTTGTATATCGTCAAGTGTGTTTAATCTTTTTTGGCTGTTGCAGGTTAACACTGTTGCTTGGTCCTCCTGGATGCGGAAAAACAACTCTGTTAAAGGCCTTGTCCGGAAATTTAGAAAACAATCTAAAGGTTACTATACTGATGAAAGCAGCTTATATCATTTTCTCTTTGTTTTCTTTTTAGCTGCAGTTATGTGAAGTGTGTGCCTTTTCTCTTATTTTATTTTCCTTATTTGTTTCCAACAGTGTTCAGGTGAAATCACTTACAATGGACACAGACTTGACGAATTTGTTCCTCAGAAAACCTCAGCATATATAAGTCAATATGATCTGCACATTGCAGAGATGACAGTGAGGGAGACAGTTGACTTCTCAGCTCGTTGTCAGGGTGTTGGTAGCCGAACAGGTAGATTTCATAAACCAATCAATGTCTCCACAGAGTGTATATACAGTATTAAGAAACATGTATCATGATTTTTTTCCATTTTTCCTGCGGAAATAGATATTATGATGGAAGTCAGTAAAAGAGAAAAGGAAGCAGGAATCATTCCTGACACAGAAGTGGATGCTTACATGAAAGTACATTCATCTAACGACCTCGTATCCCTTAAGTGTATATATTAAACCTAACCTTTAAGCTCGGTGCTTGACAAGAACTTTTATTTTCCGCATAGGCAATATCTGTCGAAGGACTTGAAAGAAGTCTGCAAACAGATTACATCTTGAAGGTATAAGTCTCTTTGATAGCTCGGCTGAAAATCTGGCCCTTCTTGTTTTGGTTCTTATCTCTTCTGTCGCATTTGCAGATTCTCGGACTCGACATCTGCGCAGAAACATTGATTGGTGATGTGATGAGGAGAGGGGTATCAGGGGGACAAAAGAAGCGTCTCACCACAGGTTAGCTTATAGCTAAAAGAACTGGCAAATTTTGCTGACATATTATTTTTCTAAAGCAGAACTTGAGCCTCTTAATTTTTTCGCAGCCGAGATGATCGTTGGTCCAACAAAGGCTCTGTTTATGGATGAGATAACAAACGGCTTAGACAGTTCCACGGCTTTTCAGATTGTTAAATCTCTTCAGCAGCTGGCTCACATATCAGACGCTACTGTTCTTGTTTCGCTCCTTCAACCTGCTCCAGAGTCCTTTGACCTATTTGATGACGTTATGCTGATGGCCAAGGGAAAAATCGTGTATCATGGCCCACGTGGCGAGGTCCTCAGCTTCTTCGAGGATTGTGGATTCCAATGCCCTGAAAGGAAAGGTGTTGCAGACTTTCTCCAGGAGGTAAATGCCAAAGTTTTGTTCCATAAAATGACCTTTTGTGGTTATGTATTCATGAGTTGTTGACCCTCTCTTGTTCTGCTTCCAAAGGTTATATCCAGAAAGGACCAAGCACAATACTGGCGGCATGAGGATATACCTTATAGGTTTGTCTCGGTAGACATGTTGTCGAAGAAATTCAAGGAGTTGAGTGTCGGAAAAAAGATTGAGGACGCTCTGTCTAAGCCATATGATAGATCAAAAAGCCATAAGGATGCTCTTTCCTTCAGCGTGTACTCTCTTCCGAACTGGGAGATGTTCATCGCATGCCTGTCAAGAGAGTTTCTTCTAATGAAGAGAAACTATTTCGTCTATATTTTCAAGACGGGTCAGGTACACTGTGAAGTTCCCATCTCTCTGCTTTTGTCTTACATATGAATAGCATTCCTCATCTTTCTAGCTTCATTGTACGCAGCTTGTAATGGCTGCATTCATCACGATGACTGTGTTTATCCGAACACGGATGGGTATCGATATCCTTCATGGGAACTCTTACATGAGTGCCCTCTTTTTCGCCGTCATTATTCTTCTTGTTGACGGGTTCCCTGAGCTGTCCATGACGGCTCAACGCTTGGCCGTGTTTTACAAACAGAAGCAGTTGTGTTTCTATCCAGCATGGGCTTATGCAATCCCTGCAACAGTGTTAAAGGTCCCTCTCTCGTTATTTGAATCTTTCGTTTGGACCGGCCTCACATACTATGTCATTGGATACACCCCTGAAGCCTCCAGGTGAGCTTCTCCGCTCTGTTGCTTGGTACTTTATAAACTCTTGAAAAAATGTTCATACAGCTGTAACATGATGAAGTTTTTGATGTTTCCAGGTTCTTCCGGCAGTTTGTTCTACTGTTTCTTGTTCACTTCACCTCTATATCCATGTTCCGGTGTCTAGCTGCAATCTTCCAGACAGTAGTTGCTTCAACCACAGCTGGCAGTTTTGGTATATT